TATACCCACAGTTCATGGGGATTCCTTTGGAAATTCGCGAAACCGAGGGAATTTACCAAAGAGGTAAGAAAGACAAAGGCGTCTGTAATGTTTCTCGTTAAATATGGAATAACGACATTCTTAGCTTTTCTGTTTAGAATAGTTAAATCCATGAGGAAAAATGCGTTACTTCAAAATAACTAAAACGCCGGGTTTTGTTTGATCAGCTGTAGACCCGACAAAGAAATACGATGAAGTTGTTGTAGTAGTATCATCAGCTCAAGACAACCTTGGAACATATCAAACAACACAGGCCCCGACCCTCGACGAAGCCAGTTCTATGCCTTACAAGAATCTGTCAAAATCCATTGCAACAGAGTGTGCAATCGAAGATAATAACGACAACGACGCTATACGTCGTTCAAGACCACAAGAAATTGCATCTGCCTCTGACGCACGATCAAATCAAACAACAGCTCGTCGATTGTCCGAACCAAGCACATCTGATCTGTTGTTGAGGAGACAGAAGAGCTTACCCAGTCGTAGTTCTACTGGATTATGGTCGAGACAAAGTCTTGAAGAACAACAAGGATTTCAAACGAGGACTGATGGAAACCCCCAAATTCTATCTGGACAGACAAACCTAGAAGTTCCCTCTAGTGTTCAAAGCAGAAAACGTCCTAAGCATAGTGAGAACGTCCGAGGTACAACAGAGACCCGAGTAGCAAGTCCTACGGAAAGCAACGCATTTAAATGCGGTCAATGTGGTAAAACGTTTCCTCAGAGATCTGTTCTACAGATTCATGTCTGTCCAAAGCAACCATACAAGCCGTACCACTGTGGACACTGCAATAGATTATTTGATGATCCGAACGAGCTTCGAAATCACGCAATGATACACACCAACGAGAAGCCATTCAAGTGTGGTTATTGTTCGAGATCATTTTCTGGCGCGACAACGCTTAACAATCATATCAGGACTCACACTGGAGAGAAGCCATTTGAATGCAGACTATGCGGGAAAACATTTTCGCAAGCTTCTCAACTTAGTCGACATGAAAAAATACCCGGAGATTGCATTGAATAACTTTTATAGCTCATTGGTAAAGACTTGGTGATGCTGCAGTGTTCAGTAGTGGGTAGACCATATCGCGTTCACTATAGGTGTTTCCCGCAGTTATCTAAATAGCGTTTCACGACATGTAACTTTACAGCTTTCAATATTACTTTAGTTTGGGAGAGTTCGAGTTAATGAATAAAATTTCCCGAAAATTGTAGTTACAAAAAAAGAAGTTTTTATTGTGCAAGAGGCCATACTGCGCGATGATCAGGATTGATGTTGGGCTGATTTGGCATGACAATAAAAAATTCATTCAAATAGCACATGGGAAAGCAATAAACAATGTTATAACAAACTTGACATTGAATGAATTCATTACAATCCAAGAGTTGGTTTCAAAGTTTCAAGTTCACTGATACATTAGTTTATTTTTTATTGATACTTCTCATGTACAACGTTTCAAATAATTACAACTATTAAACCATGAACTATATACAGTTATTCCATTCAACGTACTATTCTATAAACTCTTAACTGTGAGACATTCAACCTATACATAACTTAGACAAGATTTAATTGTTTATTGGTCAGCGGACGTGCACTAGCTATGCTAGAGTTGTGCATATATTTTGTGCAAGGCACACAGTTTACTGGGTCTTTCTGATGTTTACTAAGTTGCAAACCCTTAGTGAACGTTTTACCACATCTAAAGCAGTCGAACGGTTTTTCTCCGGTATGCATACGCACGTGATTGTTGAGTGTCGTTGCACCGGTGAACGATCGTGAACAGTAGCCGCATTTGAAGGGTTTCTTGTCTTGATGAATAGCAACGTGTATTGTCATTTCTCCCGGACTTGAGAACCGTTCATCACAATGCCCACACTGATAAGGTTGACTAGTTATACTTGAACAAATATGTGTGTGTAACATGCTTCTCTGTGTAAAGTGCTTTTTGCACTGACCGCATTGAATGGTCAGAGGCTGTTCTTCTGTAGGTGAGGACGGTAAACTGACACCTGTCGGATTAATCTGATTTTCCTCGACACTATGTCCAGTTTGACATTGGCTAGTGGTGTCTTTCTTAGATTCATTCAATGTAATTTCTTGGCTCACTGTGGTATTTACCTCGCTGGCTTTCACTTCGAGATTAGAAATGTCTCCTTTAGATTGCAGAGCTGGTGGTCGTGAAATCACTGGAATCGTTGAAGCTTGCGTAAAACCATACAGCGATCTCCTGCACAACCTGTCACGAACAGCAGATGGTTCGGTTGGAGAATCATTTGGTGATCTTCTGGGACTTGTTGGGGGTGTAGCTGGCAAACTCTCTTCTTCGGCTACCACAACCAAATTACCTGGAAACTTCGTAGGGCCTGGAAAATAATGGGAATTTTACCGACTAGAGTCCTGAAAAGCTTTCTGAGAATAAATATGGTAGTTGGTATACCTTTAGAAGAAGCCATGTCATAAATACCCTGGCAGGGTATTCCAAGGTACTGAGTGTAGATATRATCATACCAGACCAGTAATTCCTGGCCAGGGTTTATCGTCTTGAACGCGCGATAGTAAATCTTTTCACGATATTGGAAAGCGTACAGGTTTTGCTCTTGTTTATGTCTTGCACAACGAATGAACCTCATCCAACTTGAGTTGKTTTGATCTCTCCCATCTATGTATGCTTGCAGTTCACCATCTTTGAAAATCTTTAAAAGTAAAATGTAGGATTTCTTAATTACCTTTTTTTTTAACAGAAACAAATTTGATCAATAAAATGTAAAATTTGTCAAACGCACCTCCCACAGATATGAAGAGTCCAATGCATCAATACAGTATTCCGGCGTTACAAGCTCTCCTTTGTAAGGTCCAATCCAAGCTCCTTCTGGTATTATCTCACTCGCCCGGACTCCATATCCAGCTCCTGGAACAGTTGAGATGCAAAACCTAACAATATGAGGCAGGTCTTCATGAAAACTTGGCACTTCTGAAGAATTGACCAAAGAACAAGATCCTATAAATGCGAAACAGTTGATTGAACACAATCAGAAATTATTGTACATCAAATGTGAGATAACTGAATCAACATAAGATTCTAACCATCGGTAGCAACAGACTTTGCTTTACCAAACAGGTAATTCTGTACGTGTTCACTTGAAAATGTCATACTGAAAGGAGCGATCTTACTTCGCTTGCTCACAGGTTCGTCACACGGAGATAGCTTGTCACACTGTAAAAGGGAAACATTGCATTCCAACTTAGTGCGACTATAAAAATACGTTTATAACGCGATTATGCAAGTGATAGATGATAGAAAATGATGTCTTAATAGAAGAGGCATGAATACACAAATAAATACAAAAATAATTCATATAGTTGAAAGATGTATATAATCATCATACATATCTTAATTTNTTTAGTTGAAAATTCTAGACTAAGATCAGAGTGAGTGAAGAGTGATTATGAATGAATCAAATAACGATGAATATATATCAGTCAGTTTCCAACTTACCATTTTTAATGATAACAACTCCTTTATGATGATAACACGGTAACGTTGTGTAGTTATAATTTTCCCAACCAAAACTAGTCCTTTTTTCGCTTTCAGTAAGTCAAAGTAACGTATGGCGTTGGAGCTTTACATTAAACTCTTGTGCTTAAACTAAACCCTTGAAGTGGAACGCCGCCAAAATACCCTTTCTTTTCTATAGTTTATAAATATTCAAATATGACTCTTTCAGGCGACCCTCTGACCTTAATTAAACGGCCGAGTTGTGTATAACTTAAAATATTTAAATTTGTCTTCGCGTTTAACAATCAAATTCCCGCCAAAATACACACAAGAGTATATTTTATACCTCTCAAATAACATTTTTACGTGATAGTTTAGTTTGTTCCAGCTTCCAAACGATTGAAATGAATCAAACGACGAATGAGCAGTAATTTAAGTTAGATTAAAGAGCTTTCGAGGTACATAATAAAAAGAGTACATTGTCATAACATCATTCTAATAGTGTTCACGTATGGAGAGAATAGTTTTATCCCAATGCAGGTTACGATTTGATTGTTGACAGGCACGGACCGTGCTTCTCTCTTCTTCTGGTTGCTGGGGTGGTTTTCTACAACATTGCGCTACACTTGTCAAAGTTCTGAGCACACAATTAACGTAAAATTCACTGAAGAATGTCGCTAGAACACTCTTCAAAGACCACAATCATTCTGGTGCTATCCCTAGTAAGCAAGTCTTACCAAAGAAACATCCCAAACACAGCGTTTTGAGCATCTGTAAGAATTGTTTTTTCATAAGCGCGGAAATACATGACAAATGCTGCGTACTGCTACTGGCACCATTTCAATGGATCATTACAATGTGAGCTTAGCTTCAGATACTAATTTTTTTACAATGTAAGTAACAGTAAGAATTTTGCTTTCTTTGAATTCACTGCTGTTGGCACGTCACTTCAAGGAGCGAGGTAGCTACAGGTGAAGACAAATTTAGCATGGTGATTTTTTTTTATTCCATTAACTATGATGCACATAAGAGGCAGGCTTACTCCTGCTTGTACTACACTAGATGATCGAGTGATGTAATCAAACAATGGCAACGAATTAATGTTCAACCCCAATGCACAACTCTGAAAATGACTATAAAAGATCCTTTCTAGATACTTTCAAATTTATATTGAAGCCGAGGCATTTCCATCTCATGGTTAGTTTTTTGATTCACTAGAAAATATATAAAATTTCGACCCCAACAGTCAATCAAATAGTTCATATGAAACACCCCTCGTTTATTATGTCACTCATTTATATACAAATTTATGCTTAGTTTTGGCGGGAACGAAAGAGGCCATCCACATTATTGCATAAGAATGTGGTAAAGAGATCTATTGGTTAGAAACGATCGACAGAGCCATTCTATAGATATGTACATATAATGCACAAATATAATTAGAATAAATTGAAGAAAAAAACACACAACTTGTAACTTGGATTCCACTCTTTATTGAACGTTTCGGGCATTCGTAAAAATTCAATATAATATATAAAAAATAATAATGTAATATAATATGAAATGAAATTAACATAATCTAATTGCGATACGGCTAGTTGACATTGAAGTTCTAATAACGAGAAAACATCCAAAGCTACCGAACAATCAGTTAACAATCGTTTATTCATTATCAACTATTTTCCATTTTAGGTACTGTTACAAGGTTTTCTACGTCAAAATGTCATAAACGTCATCGATCAGTGTGCGCATTCTACTTAATTGCGCGCATGGATCAGACTTCTTTATTTTACGTCACTTTCCCCCCCCCCCCCCCCGTATGCATTCTTATGTGATTGTTAAGCGTCGTTATGCCAACAAAAGAGCGTTCGCAAAAGCCGCACTTAAATGGCTTCTTTCCCAAGTGATGTACCACGTGACTTCTCAAGTCTGAGGAATTGCTGAACGTTGAAGTGCATTGTCCGCAATGATAGGGAGCGTTGGTCTGTTCAGGACAGAGATGCATTTGAAGCAAAGCACGTTGAGAAAATGTACTGCAACATTGCGTACATTTGAGACGTTCCACAGTCTTGTCCTTTGAGGTGATACAGTTGCGAATAGAAGAATTGCTATGGAAATTAGATGTGCTACAATGGTAACCAAACGTTTTGCCACCAGGTGATTTGACACGATTACAACCAAAAGCGTTAACGCCTAAAAATGATGTTTGTGAAACCATTAAAGACTTTTCCTGTTCATCTGAACTTGGGTCAAAGTCAACTCTTTCCTCGTATAAGGTTTTTCCAAAGAGCAATGGTGGATCCGAACTTTTTAGTCGGGCTAGCCATAGGCTAGGCCGACTTTAGTTTTACCTTTTTGTCAATCTATGTGTCATGTCGCGTTTGGGACACCGGAAGTTCAATCCGCAACCTTCCTGTCATGTGATATTTTGATATTTATGTTGCTATGAAATGGATGTCGTGTGATGTTTTGATATTTATGTTGCTATGAAATGGATGTCGTGTGATGTTTTGATATTTATGTTGCATAAGTGAAGTAGCACACAGTATTAGAATTTCGTACCGTTGGTCTGTTCCATGATTGGTATTCCCATGTACTGTTGATAACAATCATCATACCAGACTAGGATTTCCTCTCCAATATCGATGTCACGTAACACTCGATAATAAACCCGACCCTTGTATTGAAATGCGCTTGTGTTTTGTTCAGCTTTGTTTCGAGCACACTGAATAAACCGCATCCAGTTTGCACTGCTAAGATCAGTACCTTCTATAAAATAACGAATTTGATTTTGTTGCAAAATCTGAAAGAAAACCACCAGTCAATCACCACATAAACTTTATATCTTGAAGATATAACACTAATATGAGGTCTGTGAGTGTTTCTCGTAATAAAACAGATAAACGTGCCGTAAATAACAAGAGAGGATTAACATCGTCTTTATTTGTGTACTAATACTCTTCTTTAGTGCTCTCATATATAACAGAATTATCACATGCACATTTTCCACGTGTCTTACCTCCCACATATTGTTACGATCCTCGCATTTATCCTCTTTGTTAATATCTATTAATTTGCCTTCATAAGGACCAATCCAAACATCTTGAGGAATTAACCTGGATGCCATGACTCCAAACTTATTACCAGGTATACTCGACCAGCATAACTGAAACTCTGGTTGGAAACTTTGATAGGCGTAGCTGTGAAATATCGAAACGTCATCGGATAATTGATCACTTGAGATTGCTTTTTCTTGGTATATATCTGAAATGAGAAAAGTCAATTGTTAATTGGATTAAATGGGATTCATTCAGGGTTAGTCTTACAGGGCTGTAAGTATCAGCTCCTAATAAGCTGCTTGGAAATAATCATCTGTCCCTTCATTATTTTGCGAATGATTTATATTACCCCGGTTATACCTGAATGTTGGTCACAAGAGTCAACAGGTTTGACATCATTACTTCCAAACAGATACCAGAGAATGAACTCGTTGTCTAATCCAAGACCCTTGCAGGTTGGCTTATTATCCATATATAATTGTCGCTCTAGAAAGTAAAAACGATCATGGCATTACACCAGGGGAGTCATTTTCAAGTTTATTTAAAGTTATTTTGAAATGCACGAGCAAATTTAATTGCTTTGTTTACGAGATGTTGTACATACAATCTAAAAAACCATCTCTTAATGTTCAATCCGACTCCCTGAGGGCCAAACTCTTTGTTTAGACATTTTTATGTAAATTTTGATAAACTGTTATAAAAATCAACTACAGCAAATAAAATATATCACTTGAGAATGAGATCATGTCGATCTCGAAACGTCTTTGTCGTTTATTTTATTAGTTATTTCCAAACCTTTGCTGATCAAGAAAGTAAAATAATACGTCTTCTTAGACTGGACTAAGATCTACATATCCCTAAAAAAGAGCCTTTTCAATTTGATATCCATATAATACATCCACTCCTGCATTTGCAGGAATATAAGTGAAAATAACTATAAATACTTTTAGCATACAGTATTCCAACCTGACTCCAAATATTGAACAAAACACCGATTTTTCTTATAATTTTGACCTCTGCAAATGTAGATCAAAATTTCTAAGACTTTTTTAATTACTTGTTTATTGTTTATAAAAGTCATTTTTCTGTAAAATAACTGTTAACTTTTGTATGCAAAATAAAAATTTACTCACCTTCTTAAAAGCACACCTAAATTCGCTTACATGAAAAAATAGTGCATTGGTGCTGTTAATGAAGTAATGATCAGAAGTAATGACCTCAGTTGTATCATTTTGTATTTGTATTTTATGTGAATCATCTATCAAGCGCGAAAGGCTCAATACTCAATTGTACTAGAACCATTCCCGAACATTCTCAACCATTCAAACGCGTAACTCAGAACCACTCAACCGGAATCCACCTTCCTCAAACCTCCTTGTAAAACCGCACAAGAACCAAACTGAGACAATTTACAAATCTTTGAGGCTACTGAAAAATAACGTCTCTCTAGTTTTTTTGTACGAAATCCTTTCTGTCTTAAAAAGAACGTTCTGGTTGATACGATGTCATAAGTTGCCACGCAACTACTGTAAAGATGAAGAATGAATAAGTGTGATGTCATATCAGAGATCACGTCAGGTTGATTGTGTAAACGAGTTAGCTTTAATAGAATAGTTACAGTGTCTCTATAGTGCAAAAGCACTGAGAAAATACTGTTCGACCTTGGCTACGAATTACTTGGTTATGAATAAACAAGATTTAGGATGAAGCCAAACTCCTGTAAACTTGGAACAAAATTAAATTGCATAAACAGATTTATATCATAAAATCAGTGCACACTATAGTCTCCTCACCAGTCAACTCTTTTTTTCTCCTTCGGGCAAATATACAAATTAATAAATATTAAGTAAATAGTTACTTTAACAAACAATTTATTATCAGCTAATTTTAGCATATACACATATCAAGACAGACTTGAACCCCTATGAGGATATACATTTGATCACCCTTTACTTGCAATAGCATCTCGGATCTGCTTGTCCAGTTCAACGATGATCCGGTCGTCTGTAGTATAGACTCCAGTTTGTAGTAATGTATCTCTCTCCTCTATCAACTTAGCGATTCTATTGTCGAGTTCTTCAATCGTTTCTTTACTAAGATGCGTGGAATAATTGTCGTCCGAGAAATGGCGAAGAGAATATTGTGATGAGACGGGATTATGTTGACTCTCTGAGATGCGCAATTTTTGTTCTTCCTGTTGTTTCAATCTAGAGATAATAATAAAAACTCATCAGAAATTGACTACTATTGCCAAATACAAAATTATAGGAGCCTATAACCTATTTAATTCTTGCTTGATGTCTTCCAGCTCATTTCTCTCAGATGCTTTGACAACCTATGAGGCAAGTTTCAAAAATTAACAAATGACAATGATCACAGCTGAAAAAACAGACAGAAAATGACGCTTACCTCCTTTTCTTCAGCAGCCAGGTATCGAAGTCTCATGTGTTCTAGCTCTTGCTCCTGTCTCTTTAATCTTTCCTTCGCTACTGCTTGTTCTTGTTGCTTAAGACGAGCTACTTCTCTTAGGGCCCTGCCCCACTGTTGCTTATAGTGAATCTTAGATTTATTTGCAGTGTCTAATTTGCGTTCCAATTCAGACTTTTCAACCTTCAGAAGGTCAAGCTCTGATTGAAGTCTTACTTCGGGTTTTGTGAGCTGACTTTCTTTGTATGATATTAATTCATTTTCTTTATCCTGGAACCGCTTTTCTGCTGCATACAACTGTTCAAAGGACGAACATTAACAATGTGAGAAGGGTTACATGTGTCTAGAATGTGACAAGCATCACAAATTACCTGCTCTACGAATCTTTGTTTTTGTTGTTCCAAGTCTCTAACTTTTGCTCTGGAACAAAAACAAAAACATTCATAAACTCTCTAAAATAACCCAAACAAAAATAACCATTGTTAGCGAACCTTTCCATTTCCACTTGATGAGCGCAATCTTCTTTCATCCTTTTCATGGCTTCTTTTACTTCTTGTATTTTCTTGTCGTGTTCATGTTGCAGGTCTTCTTTTAATTTAGCAACCTAGCAAAACACAGGGAATATTTTACAAATTCCAGGATAGTAGGACATTTCAGATTGTGCTATGATACACACGTGTAATTCATTTGATGCAAGTTGTTTTTCACGTTTTTCAAAGTCGGCAACAGTGAGTCTAAGCTTTTCTTCAAGTTTGGCGTACTCTTCAACCTACCGAGGCAAAAAAAAGTTGTGAAACGAATTTTTTCAAAGTTTGATGGTCATAAGTTTTTACTTTTTTCTTGACCAGCAACTCGCGTTCTTTATCACGTCTTTTCCAATCTTCGGCTAATGTCTTGATGTGTTCAGTTTCTTTCTGTTGTAGCTGTAGGTAAAAACATAAGGTAAAAAAATTACATTTCTAAAAATGAAAGCATATAAGTGTTTTTACCTGTGACTGGAACATTTCTTCCTGATGTTCTTTCCACAATTCAAGTTCCATTGCCGCTTGGTATTCAGCAGTTGCCCTGGGGTCCGTTACAGCAGGGGGTTCAGATTGAAGGGGAGGAATGCGCTGAGGCTGAGCTAAAGGTATTGCAGAAGAACCTTGACTTGTACTCTCCAATGACGAAGCTGTACTGCTTAGAGACTATAATAGAAAAGAACATCAACTGACAATGACCTTCACTACACATGAGGCATTTTCACTCAAAAACACCATCTGTAAGAAATGCACAGCCATAATGTTTGGTCATAATTTAATATTAACTATGGCACTAACCATTATATTTTGTCTTGCAGCATGCAATTGCTGAGGGTTGACAGGACCAAAATCTTCAAGACCTAAAACTATGTGAAGCTCTCCAATCTTTCTCATGGGTCTATAATAAACATGGTTAAAGTCAATCCAATATTATTCATAAAAGACCACAATATTACATGGAATTGGCAATTAAGACACAAAATGTTATATTTGCATGAATCTGACTTACTGATGGGCTGTTACTATGTTAGTTCGTTCACTGTAAATCTGCCTATATCCAGCAACACCTCCACTCTAGTAAAATAAACATTAATGTATCAAAATCATGTATCAAAATGACAATCTATCAAATGTGACTTACCAACATTTTGTCTGCAGTGAGAATGTGTCCAAGGTTGACTGTAGCAGTACCTAGTAAAACATTTCCAGCCATCTGATCTCTGTGCCAAACTTCTACAATAAGTGGATCTCTGAAGAAATCATTATCTAATAAACAAACAAACAATTCCCCATTCTATTCACAGAATGCATTAAAAGTGCATACCCTATAATCTTTTCCTGTAAAAGTTTTGGAGAAGAAGCAAAGTCAAAAGCACAAAATGATTTWGGGAGTAGTGCTTGCATGTGTTTAGAAACTTCAACTGGTGGACTTGTCATGACTGGTGCAGCGCTACCAAAGAACGGATATGTATACCTGAAGATAAGAAATATTCCTGAGCTACCAAAACACATATAGAATAGTTTGAATGATAAGGTATACCTGAGAAAGCAGTTTATGGAAGAAGTTACATCAAGATCATTAATTGTTCTCAAGTCAATGGAGAAGCAATAGTGATGAGTATTTTCTGGTTGCATGTCTCTGTACTGAAGGTGTACTGGACTGGGGGTCTGATGCTTGTCTGGTTTCTTAGGATGTCTTTTAGAATACTTGAGTTATGAATAAATCAAACAATATATCACATGATTGTAAAAAAGTCTGTTACCAATTGTTAAAAATCCCCTTCAAGTCTTGCTTGACAACTTTCTTGCAATATTATTTAATGTTCATTTGAAGATCTAAAAAGATGAATGCCTTACATGTCATTGATCATCCAAAACACCCTTCTTACTCACTTTAATTGGTGAAGTTGATTGAACTGTATGCTCATCAGACATTTTATGTGCTGCTTTCTCTGGGGTACTGCTAATGGGCCTATTTGAAGGGCTATTAGCAAATGAATCCTGGACTACACCTTGAACAACTGATTTCAAGTCTGTTTTAGTTGCTGGTGATCTTGAAGGTGTCTCTTTAGGTTGCTGAGGAGTTTTTATGGTGGAGAATATTTGTTAAGCACAGATAGATGTAGTGATTTTTATATTTATTGTGTCAAATTGTTACAAAATTTACCTGATTAGTTCCTGCTAAAACAGGAGATTCCTGTTTCAATGACACCGATACACCAACTGCTGGTACATTATCATCAGATGACATCCCATGTGGCGCCCCCATAGGCTGTAGTTTAAACAAACCCTCAACCACTGCAGGTGACTGTAACTGTAAGTCTTTTTGAAGAAGGCTTTGCAATGGCACTAAAGCCATGCCAAGAGACTGATCACCACTGCAGAGATGAATCTGAATATGTGACAAATGCTTAAAGTCACTTTAATTCCTATAACATTTCCATACCATACATAAACAAGTAACTAACAGCAGGAGCCACAGATGGCTTTACTAACCTCAAGTCCACGGTGAGCATTAAAAAATGCATGGAGAGCTGCAATATTACATTTTATACGCACAGTTGCTCTCTCTGGAGGAAAGTTAGGCTGTAGTAGATCGTGAAACACAGCATTTGAGACATCATTGCCAATAAGGGAATAATAGAAATAAAAACCTCCTCCATGATCAGTTAACTTGAAAGATGATGGGATAAGCTACAAAACAAAGTCAATTTAGAAAATAAATGATTTAATATAAAATAAATAAAATAAATGTATTTCAAAAACAAACAAGATAATAAGAGCATCAAAAATTAGGTAAAAAAATTCATGACGTTTCGGACTCTGATGAAGGATTAACATCTGAAACATCAGTTAGTTGCTTCAACTACTTTTTTATGGTGTTAAAATTCATCTTTCTGCAAGACTGTTTCTTTAGAAACACTGGTGCAGCTCACACTAGTTTACCGCTAGTTTTCYCCATCTTAACAGCAAGAGTAATTACTGATAGACTATTGATCACTGTCTTAATCATAAAGCAAACTATTTCCTGTGCAGTTTTAATGACAGCTACTACTTTACCTTTGCCAAGTTTGAAGCCAAACCAATAGTAACAGACAGTACAAAGATGTGGTTATCTTTCTCTGATGGTCCTATTTGATAGTACCCTTCATTGTTATTAAGAACAGGCTCCAAATCACCCACGAACCCAGAAGATTGAAGATCTAAAGACACGAGAATTACACCTGTTAGTTAACCCCCTTTCTATTATACAATTAATTCACTATATAGCTATCATGAATGCACAGTTGACTCATCAAAACAAATTAAATATGATCTTTCAGGTTCGTTAAACTTTCCTTAAAAAACATACAAAAATTCCCTCATATTCCCTCATATCATGTGCTCTTTAAAAACTCAAGATTAATAGCACATATATGTTATTGACACTGCAAAGACATTTTACAACTTGATTTTGAACATTCTTGAAAACAAACAAAATGGTATAGCCGAGTGAATCTGTAGCTGACACAATTTGAACAGTGCTCAATACACATTAGTCCAGAGCAAAATGCTTGCAAATAATTTTGTTTTGTTTTTTTCTTTCTTTACAATTGGACAACGTTAATGCTACTGACTGTATACTGAGGTTTGTTCACTTAATACTCCAGTTTCAAATTCTCTTTTGTGCAAACTTAACTTCAATCAAGCATAAATTGTTTATTGTCTTCTTTGTACACAGAGTGTTTGCATTACAYTAGATTCTCTGCCGAATAAAAAAATGTATTACATGATTTCGAGGTTAAGCCTGCACAAATAACATCTCGAAACTGGAGTATTGCTCACAGTCTACTGTTCTAAGTATAAGTAATGTTTAAAGTCTGACAATGAGGACTGAAAGGGATTTCAAGTTCGCACAATTAGTCAGAGGCGTTAGCTGACTTTGAAAGACTTTGAATAATTAATGAGTATGACAAAAGCCTATAAAACAATCTTCTCACACCTTTCTGTTTAGAAGCTGCAGCCTTGGTATTGTCTGCTCCAAAAGGTTGATTGTCTGCTTCTTTGGACTGGGAATCTTCTTCAAGAGACAGCAAAACCTTAAGCTCTGGTTTTAATTTTTGGTATTTGGAACTTAACAATGGATACCAATGTGGCACCTAAATGGTATAGGAAAGGATGCATTAGATCAATTCATGTGAGTAAGATGTACAAATGTAGTATAAGTCAGTTTTTTTCTAATCTCCCCCCTCCCTTGATTCTTGTCTCGGAGTAATTAATCGATGGAAATCGATCATCAATTACCTAATTGATTAATTGATGGAATTAGTTAATTAATATCGACAATCGATGATTAATCGATAGTCACACGAAAAGTTCTTTAATTAATATCGATTAGCATCGGTTATCTATTKGGTTGAAATCGTRGAGTGAGATCCAAACACTAGCATGATCAGCTGACTTTTCGAAGCTTTATTAGTTCTGACGTATTGTTACACGTAATAACTTGTTTTATTGTTCAATCAATTCTGAGTTTATATAATGCCAGGATGATTGTTAATTTCTTGAAATATAACTAACAACCATTTAAAACAGTAAATTAAATCATGATCATAAATTTATAAAAAGGTCAGCTATATATATGATATCAAAGAGGCAAGATTTTTCGTGCTACGCACTCATCAGACAGTATTTAATTTTATTTTAAAAAGGTCAGCTATATAGTCTGTATACTCATTTACTAACGATTTGCCGTTTCATGTTAATTTGTACGACCAAAGTAAACCAATCGATTGTTAGTCAATGGTAATTTTGACCATCGATTACTAATCGATAAAAGGTCACAGATTTGTTGCTAGTCGATTAGTCATCAATTTCCAATATTAATTGATTAATTAGCATTGATTAATATCGATTTTATCGATCATCGGTTTCATCGATTAATTACTCTGGGTTCATGTATCTTGCACTGCTGTTATTTTGCTACCTCTGGTTTTTGCTGTGCACTTCTCAAGTCAAGAATGATGTAGCCAACTGGTTCTTTTTGTGATGTCAGTACATCCACAGCATAACACTAAAAAGTCAAGGAAAAGTTATTCATATGAAACTTAAATTAAAGTAAATGTTAAATTTTGACCTTGTAAAAAAGTTCTTATACCTGGACTTTAATTGGTGATCTATGAAGTCGGTGCTTGTGAAGAGATTTCTTATTCAGCTCCCAAGCCAATTCTGTAGTAAACTTTGGTGCTTCAACATGGTCAATGGGATCCGTCGACAAAGTCTCTCCATCAAACTTCGTCTCAACAAGGATTTTATGTCTGGCACGACTTGGAAACTTTTTCCCTAATATTATTTAGCAAACACAGCACGAATTTATGATCGATAAAATGCAGAATATAAATATAAACCGAAAAAAAAGCAACGAAAAAGGAAACATAGAATGAAAAAGATCCTAGTGTCAACCAAAACTGCATATGGACCGAGTGTTTGCTGTGGTATAATACTCACCTTCAAGAATTGAAACTACCAACAAAATTTGATCACCAATTGTCATTTTTAGATGCACAGTTACTTAGCCACATGATTTGGAAGCTCTCTGAACCATAATTTAGGAGGAGCCTGTATTAAATACGCTTTAAATAGTTGAAAATTAAGCCATCCAACTGAAACATTACAAATCCACCGCCATTTTTCACTTAATTTATAGTATAGCTGACCAGAAAATCGCGGGCTTTATTCTAGTAGTTTCTAGTCCCTCTCCAAAATAACAGATGGAGCGAAATGCAAATGAGTTATTTTGTTTCGGATCGTACCGGCCGAACAATTTGAGTGCATTTGTCGTATTTGGTATTTCAACATTCCTACATTGTATAATATGGGCATAAAGAAAGAGGAAAAAGTAATTGAATGGTTCATCAAGTGAGCAAAAGTGTTCATCTGGAATCATGAGATTGTTTAGATGACAGAGTGTTTATGGTGTAAATCAAAACAGTTTGCTGCTAGGCGACTCAATTCATCAAAACAGCTGTTATTCATTTCTAAAATTTCCGCTGCTGGGACATTCAAAGGCACATTTAATTAACACTTCATCTGTCCTATGATCTATGAACTCTGTATAAAAGCTGGATTGATTATTTCTTGGTTGTCCCCATTAGATCCACAAATCAAACAGAGACAGAAGAAGCGTCTGAAACGTCACACTGTGGTTGTCAGATCTAGTCTCTTAATTGGACACGAAGAATACTTGTTTTATGGGTCATTGTGTGTCGTTTCCTTTAATAGAACCTTTAATTAATGTCGTTTGGGACCCAAAACCAATTGTGATGATACAAAACGAGCTTATCGTGTACTCGTGACTATTATATTATATAATTTAGACATCGTCAAAGAAAAGCATGAAATACTAAGATCCAATGGCCAAGGCAAAAGAACCGACCAATCTGAAATCAAAACTCTCTCGTAAAATTGCAGAATTAACCATGGTTGTTCATTTGCTGTTTACAAGGAACCATGAGCGTGAGGTTGAAATAGAGGCTTTGAAGTCTGTTTATTCAAAGGAGATTAAAAAGATTGAGGGCGATGTGAGAAGCAAAGTTTCTTGGCTAGAGGGACAATTAGAAGAGCTCGAGAAAACAAGAGTGATGTTGGATGTAAAAAACACGGAGATTTCGAAACATAAACAGCAAACTCAAATGTTATTGGACAGAGAAATGGAAATGAAAAAGGAACTGGATGACAAAATTCATCTGCTCTCCATGGCACAGAAAGACGTAATTAAATTACGAGATCAACTCGTCAGCAAAGCCAGTTACAATAGTGAACAGTCTGCAGGCGTACAACAACTAAAAGAAGAAATTCTAAGACTAAATAAATCTAATGAAGACCTTAGTTCAAAACTTTCATCAAAATCAAAGAAACACAAAGACCTCCTAAAACAAATAGATGAACTGCAAACAAACGTAAAAAGTTTAAATATGGAACTAAAGGAAGCACTTACAAAAAAAGATCAACTAGAAACCCTATTGGGTGGTCAGCAAAATGATTGGCAGAATGAAATTGACAAGCTACAATCAGAAATTTCAGAGTTGATCGATTGTCAGCAAGGAGATCAAGAAAAATATACAAAGCTTGAAATGAAAAACAAGCAGCTCCAACTACTTAACAATGAACTGGCGGGTTCAAATAAGCAACTTTCTATGCAAATTCAACAACTAATTAATGACAAAAATAGGAAAAAAGAAATGAAAAAAATCAAACCTAAACAGGCATCACCTGAGGCACCAAGATGCTCTCCTGCTTATGAGGTAGTGTTACAAGCAACTTTAACATCACAAATCTTTGTTTAAACAGAATCTTTAGCCTTTATCGGTGTGCCATGGCTAGACACTCCATATTTAATAGTTTTCAAAAATACAGATATAGAAATTATGACATAAATAAATAAAAGAAATAAAATTTGAATAAGACTCATTAAGAAAAACAATATAAAGCAGCATTCATCTGAGAGAAGTTAAGTTTTTAAAAGAACTAAATCTATCACTATTTAATACTGTTTTTTTCTTGTGTTAGCCATCCCCCTTTGTGACATACTGGATCCACAACTATTATTCTTCTATTAAAAAAACTCTTTATTTTCAGAAAGATGAGGAGCTTGAGAGACTGAGACGTGAAGTTCAGCGTTATAGATTAGAGATCAGCAACAGAGAATCTAATTTCAACAGAGTGTTTGCAGAGCAAAAGCCTGTTCTTACAGATGGTAGGAGTAAAAAATCAGGCAACTCCCCTGACTCTGCAGTAAGTAGCAATAACTGATTATAAATTGTATTGAAAAGCTTCGTAAGCATTCATCATGAAGGAGACAGCTAGTTATATTGAAACAATCATAGCCTACTGTATTCTATCAGTACAGTGGGAAAGCGAGAAAAGAGGGTAAAAAAAAACAACAACAACAGACAAATAAGTACTAACAATCTATTATCATTGTAGAGATTTCCTAATCTGACTGGAACACGTGGACGCTCAGCTGTTAGTGGTCAAATTTCTCCATCACACTTGCCATCACTGAAATAATATTAGAAAAGCTACTATCAGATGATCAGAATCATACATGTATTCAATTAATGTATAATTAGTAAGTTCTTACAAATTTAAAATTCAATTGTTAGGAGATGTATTTGAATAATATTGTAAAGTACTATAATGTGTCTGGACTAAAGTCGATTTCTTTTTAAACTATTGTGTAATGGAAATATTGGTCTAAGTGAGGAATTGTAGGTCCAGTAAAATATATTTCAAATTTTTGTGCTGCAGACTCACTTGCTGCATTGGCAATGATAGCATGTGACCTAACTATTGTGAGCTGCCTTGGTGATTCTAAAGAAATGGTTGTGTAAAGATAAATTTAACACCATAAAAAAGTAGGTGAAACAACTAACTGACGTTCTGGACGTTAATCCTTCGTCAAAGTAAAAACAATGTCCAAAGGTCAGTAAGTTATTTCGCCTACTTTTTTATGGTGTTAAATTTATCTTTTTACACAACTAAATGCAAATTAATAGAATTATGAAATATAATTAAATTACCTTGGATATCTTGCTCCAAAATTATTTGGCACTCCCATGTGTTAAAAACTCTTTTTCTTTAAACAGTGTAGCACATCTGTTTTAAAAACATGGAATTCACAATATTGTTTGAGAAAAATATTCAAATTGAGATTTACATGTCGAGAAAGACAATGACATACTTTGTAATACCTTAAGAACTGTTTTTCAGCTTCCCTTGTGTCCTTGTTTAATAATATCAATTTCTGAGATATTGATGACATACATTATTTAATTATTAGCAGGCAACATTATCAATATATTGGTCATCATACAGTCCCAACCTTTTCCAAGTAAATTTGCTCTTGGTCTTTCTCTGAATTCTTCCTTTGTGGTGTATTTTCATTGGAACAAGTAATCTACAAATTCAATATCATTATATAATTACCAGCATAATAGAGGCAGGCAATCAAACAGATTCAAACAGATTGATTTTCTTTAAAATATCTGGTGTTGTTTTGTAGTTGATGATTTAATTTACCAGCAAACAAGGTAAAAACACCAATTATGCTTTATTTGATGAATATGTCAGAGTAGACCTGTGCAACAGCTGTGCTTCTTTGGACACAATGTAGCGATACATTTCTTCTAACAGCCTGTCGTAGCTTCATCCGTTTCATTTGAAAAGCTTTATACAATAGCTTGACTTCCTTATGACCTCTGCAATAATCAAGACTTTTGAATATAAAAATAAGCTTAAGCTTAAATCGACAGACCTGGAATGTTCATTCGCACCAATATTAAACGAAAAGGTTTTTGATAGAACTAAACGCGTTCAAACCTGTGTCTTTGCGGAAAAGCTTCTCTAAATTCATCTAGAGTGTAAGAATTGGTTACTTCTGAACGAATGAGAAATTCAGCGAGCAAATGGGAAAGCTCCATAGCAGCTGAACGAGGGTTAATATCCGCCATTTTTGTTTGTCCAGTACCAGTCCCCACTCGTCTTATCACATCAGAACGTGCATGCACGCGGAAGTGCATAATGACGTCACAGCATGTTTACAATGCCGATATACACCTACTTACGAAAACGTTGCCATAGAAAAGAGGTAATATGTACTTTGTTTTAATTAATTCCTTTTTACTAAATTCAAATGTTCTATTTTCTATGACAACGTTTCTGCAAATAGGTGTATGTTCAGAAAAGTGGAAAAGACCTATGATATTTGAACATTAATGCGATTTTAATGCAAACTGAGTTCCATACATAGCTCAGTCATAGAGGTATTCAAAACACTGTTGTCATTTGACATTTGAAAGACAAATGATTTATTAATGAAGTATTTCCACTATAAAATGATTACACCTTGCTTGAAATAGTCTTCATTTAGCTTACAAAAGTGTCTTTAAAATACTTTAAATCACATAATCCATTGTTGACTGTTGAATAAATAAATATTACTAATATCAACTAACTAATATAGAAATAAGGAAAGTTATAGTGCTTAGAAGTAGGTTATTCTGGAAGAAAGATTTATGGAAATAAATACGGAAAACTTTTTTCRGACCTCGCTGGCATCAAGGACTTGTACTACATATTATCACTTAGTCTGATATGTTACATCTCACAGGACTTCTAAGAAGACCTTTGAACAGAAATTTGTTCTTTCTTAAAATATTACAGACTGTAATCAATCATCCTCAATTAAAATTAACTTTAACTGTTTTTATCGCTACAGTTCATCTTTTCTTTTGTCACTTAAACCATCTTCTTCCATGTTTTCTTCCTCTTCACCATGTTCCTCCTCTTCCTTTTCTTCAGGATGTTGCCCTAGTGACAGAAGACGTTCTATATCTTCTGCTTTTACTTCAAAGATCTCATCAGCACTGACCAAACCATTTTTATCCAAGTCAAGTTCTTCAAAGTTCTAAAGAAAAAAGAGAATGAAACAAAGAATGAAATGAAAAAGAAACCTCAAATCGAGGAAGAGGAAAAAGACCAAGAATATAGTGATAATAAGATGTATTATAATTGTATTACAACTCTACCTGCTTGGCCAAGTCATCAGGAAGTGATTCATAGTGATGTTGAGCAGCAAGTTTCTAAATTCACAGAACTGCGTATAAGATTTACTAGTGTATAACTTGGTCCCAAATTCACAGCTAAGTTCATGGGCAGCCCCCCTTTCCAGTGGGCCATTGTACTGCTGAGTAACTTAATATACGTAATTTCATGAGCAGCAAATAAATTTTTATTATATGCCAATTAAAATTAAAATTAAAATTAATGGGATCAGCTACTTCCTCATACGATTATGCCAATTAAAATGTATGTAACAAAAATATAATGATCACTTCTTTATGAAGCAAAATGATCCTTGAAATTGCAGTGAATTTTGGGATAACTTTGATTATCTACATGGTTTGAAACATACAACTATTTGCTTTGGAACTACATGTCAGACAATATTGTTAAAAAAACCTTTTTAACTACATTTAAATATATTACTGACAAGCGCATCCCCCTCCCCCTCCCCCCCTATAAAATGCTGGATCCGCCCCTGCTGGAGGTAAGAATTCAATATACAAGTGAAAAACAACCAACTTAAGAAGTATTGAACCTTTAATGTTTGTATCCACTGATCTTGTGGAACAGGTTGCCTACCAACCTCTTCAAGAATGAGCTGTCTATTAAAACAACATAGGATAAGTAGAAGTCTTTAAGCATTTGTCTTTAGAATAACAACCAACCTTTGTATTTCAAATGGCTTGAAGGAGAATTGACTTAATGGTATGCCATTGTTGTCTTCATACTTACTAGTTTCACAATCGGTTTCATTAAAGAAAGTGAAATGTGCCCACCAGATATTAACTGCTAAATTACGAGAACCAAAAGAATGCACATGATGAATCCACCTGAAGAAAAATAACAATTGACATACAAATACAGTAGAACTGTGAGACCAATATTTTGCAATAAGACAGAACAGTTTATAAAATATGTAGAGGAATAGATACACTTACATGTAAGGAATATACATACAGTCTCCTTGCTGCATTGATACATTGAACCATGGTACATTTCTTAGTCCTGGGAACTTGTACATATCAACTTTTTCTACATCCACAGATGAGAAAGACCCATCTAACCTGTCAATATGGGCTTGAGGCTTATATTTCTACAGCAAAACAAAACAAAACAACAAAAATACATTAGGAAAGAATATTTCTTCAGGAGATTCAGACTGACTAGTTCAGATTTTTGTAATAGTTTTAAAACCATGACATATAATTCTTGCATATTAGTTTATCCATGTTCTAATGGGAAAATAGCTCTCTGATCATTTGTTCTGTGACAGAGATTATAAAGAAGCAGTTTAGTTAAGTGTGCCTGATACAAAATCAGTGAAGCCATAAGAAGGGCATGAGGAGGAATGGAGGGAGAGAGACAGGGATCTCGAAATGAGAAATGGGATTAATTAAATAATATGAAAATGTGCATACTTTATCAATCATTATGAATTTTTTACTCCCACTGAAAAGACAATTGATATTTTCTACAGAATCAAAGTGTAAGACAGATTTAGTGCCTCCACTGCTGAACCACATGACTGCATCCTGAAATACTTCTGTGAAGCCACCACAGTAAAGACATCTTGGAATTACATACTCCTCTGCAATTAAACAATCACTAATGTTATCAACTACTTGTTGAACCAATCAAAGCACATGTTCATTTCACTTAACAATTGTTGTCAGAATCAAAATCAGAGAACAATGACACTGAGAATATCATGTTCATGGCTGCCTTGCCTTGCTGGCAGAGAAATAGAGAAACATAATATGCCACTTTTATAAGTTTCTTTCATTTTCTCTGTAGTTTCAAAGCTATTTTCCTCCCATTGTACATAGTTAGTTATATTAACTATGCTTTGTACAATCTAATCATAATTCCCATCAATCAGTTGATGTTGCTACAGTACATAATTATAAAGBAGGCACCTACACAACAAATTGCACGTCCAGGAAATGTATGTAAAATTAAATAGTAGTGACACTACAACTCAATACTGTGCTATATCTTTCAGCAATTGTGTTCCAATGAAGAGTGATTACCATTCATCACCCTTCTTTTCCTACTTATCAATCTTTCTATCAGAATCTTTCAGTGTCAGCTCATATAATTTTGAGCCTGCCAACTATTGTTYTAGTCATTACCATTCTCGTACCCAGACCCTACTCTGTCGGCCTCTAGCGGCCTGTCGTAGGCTCTGGGACACCCTGTAATTTCAAGCCACATGATTGGCTAATTCAAATAACAAACTGACAAGATTGTAACCGCGATCAAAAATTCAAATATTTGTAATTTAATATATCTGCACTAGTACGTTTTTTTCGTACATATTCTTGCCTATTCTGTCCTCGGAACGAGTTGAAATAAAAACCTGTGTCATCGTCCTTTGCGACATCGAACTTTGGTACGAAAAATGACTTGAATCAAGGTAAAAATAGGTCTCAACCAGACGGGTCTCAAGAAAAATGATATTTCTCGCTGAAGCACCCATCAGCCGGGATTAACGACAGCCGTCAACTCAGAACTCACTTGACCTCACGGACTTAATTCACCTGTTTTTAAGCAAAATCAAAGCTCAAGAATTGCCATAATTCTCAGTGATTTTATGAAGACAAGAGTCAACAAAGTAAGGATATTTGTAGTAGAAGAAAATTAGCGTCAAAATTTAGCGTCACAGGAAACCTGGATTATATATAACCTGGTCTTTACCAACGATCACCGGGAAAAACCATTCTGAGAGAGTCTGGAGAGAGAGCTTAGAGCATAAACCGGAAGCAAGTTAATAGGGTGTCCCAGAGCCTACGACAGGCCGCTAGAGGCCGACAGAGTAGGGTCTGGGTACGAGAATGAGTCATTACATGACCAACTAAACAAAATATATCAGAACATAAAATTTGTAGACAATCCAGTGGACAGAATACATCAATTTACTAAAATGGTCGTTTTGATTTAGATTTCACCTTGCATTTGCTTTGGAAGACTTTCTACCATGTAAACATCTTCCTTTTTATAACGGCTGATAAAATCTTGAAGCTTGAAATTAAAAGTTGACAGCGACCTGTTCTCTTTCTTTCCTTCTTCTACATCCATTCTAATATTACCAAATTTTTTGCTAAAAAAAACAATGAAATATACTAAATTAGGTTTCAAAATAATATTAAAATATGCAAACAATGTTTATAAAATAAGATGCAAGGTTGGATAATAATAATAAAAAAAAGTTATCTTTATACATGATCAAATAAAAGAATCAGTGGCACACTCTACTGATTGATTATTAACAGTTCAGAGATTATGTCTCAAATTTTGATTGATATCTGTCACTACACAAACAAATGACATCTTTCAGTTTTATTTACCATTTTCTTTCAGCTATACCAAAGGATTCTTAAACTAATGCATTTAAAGAAATTGCTTCAATACTCATTATTTTTTGAAAATATATTCTTGTTGACACAAAAACAATGTGTTATCATAATCAGCCTTGGCATCTGCACCTGCAGAAAAACGGACAGCACAAAAACTGACAACATCTACAAAAAACACCTCCCAAATTTTAAAATAACTTCTGGATTTCTATAATGAATAACAAAGAGAGAGCCTTAATTACAACAGTTTTAAAACAATTCTATAACTTAAAAGAACTTTCATTTTGCTTGTAATCTAACTAAAAACAGCTGAGATGAAACACTTATAAAGTCTTAACTTAATTTTTGCTAGTTACCTCAAATAGTCGTCTGTCCACAAGTTATACGGTGGCATTTTCTTTGCAGCTCCTCTGAATAGAACAGGTTTTCCAGGCTTGACATAATTGTCAAAAAATTCACGAGGAGAAGGAATACTATTTAGTATAGATATTGAGTTTTCTGGTGGTTGGTGTGATCCCAAAGGCCGCAAATGGCCTGCTGGATCTTCCGAACAATGAGTCACTTTTAACAAGTTGAGGAATATAATCCAAGAAAACTTCATTTTGAATTATAACACAATCCTGATTCCACTAACGGAAAAATTTCAAGTTGACTTATCAGAGCATACTGACGTGTCAACCATAGAATACCGTGTATATTTTCTGTTTCTCATTACTTGACGGATGATTATCGACTACTCGATTTTTCTTTCCGAATGTTTTCCGAAACATTGTAATTTTCCGAATAAGGTTTTGTGATACGATCAGGAAAAGCTGTAGTTTCAAGCAAACATCACCTTTAGCATGTTTAGTTGCATTGAAAAAGAAATTACAGAAAGCAAGGTTGTTCTTTTATGTTTCTTGAATCTGTGATTTGCAGTCTGCACATAATTTTACACCGCTTTAAAGACACTATGACACTATGAGTTCTTCGATTCTCCTGCAGCTTAATTTTTGTTAGCTAAATTTTGAATTTTGTGTCTTGTGGCCTTTTTCTGTTACTGCTGGGTGACTAACGTGACAATAGAAAGGTAAGTATAATTTTACGTCACACATGAAAGTAAGAGTTGTTTATATATATCCATTTCCATAGTAATATGACGTCACATGTTGGCTAATGATCTACCATGTTTAATTTAGGAATAAGTCAAAATGCTCTTTCATTGTCGTTGATTTCGATATTTTGTTTCTAAGCTCGTTTGAATCTTAACTTATAAGCTATCGACATATTCTTTATAGACGAATCACTTCAGAAACGGTTCTTGATGTGAAGCTTAGCTTCAGAGGAATTTGCAAAACAAAAGCTACAAAACCTTGTTAAATTTATTCTAAAGTCTCTGGTTCAATTCCATTTGTATAAGAACTTGTTTGGATTTCAAGATGATGGCAACAAGAAATCCTAAAGTTGCTCCAAAGAAGAAAGCTAAACCGAAGCCAGAAACAAAAGATCTAGGTAAAATGGAGCTCATTCAATTTAAAGCTTATTTTCCTGGTGAATTTGAATATTAACTATAGATAAAAGAGTTGAAAACATGATAAATCTAGGAATTGCTTGTATCAAGTTGAAGCACCTGATTTGTCATTTGCTCACACAAGTCAATATGTTTGGATTTCAATGAAGACATTGAAAGCATTCAAACTTAGTGGAAATTTCTGCAATACTTCATGCACTTATAAAAGAATAAAAAGTTTATTACATATCTACCAGACCAGCACAACCAGGTAACTGAAAAGCATGGCATATTACTTGACAATAACATGTCAGGTATGGATGTAGGCTAACACAGTCTGGCTATTGGCTAATTCAAGCAATTTAGAGTAGTTGAAACAAGGGCAGTAATAATAATGTTGTGACTATAATCCTCTGTAACATTAACTGGATGTTCCAAAAAACAACAAATATCAAATATTCACCGGTAACTAGGAGGTTTTTAGGAACATCTAGCTTTCAAGAGCATATATTACAACATAATGTCTGAGATTTAACTGCTTTTAGTAGAAACATATTTATAGTTACTGATGGTTGGTTAATTATTTTTTCTGAATTTTCATTCTCTTGGCTCATTTACTTCACACAGAGGCTGGAAATGTTGATTTGRTGACAGTTTTTAACTCACTCAATCCTATAATGTTAGAGAAACAAATTGTAGAATATTTTATGTATGCATGTCACAATTTTTTTTCCTTTTTTACATGTAATTGGTAGCATGGACAGATACTGATGACACYGAGTCAACCAGAGATGTCATCAAACAGACTAATGATTCTAGTGAATCAAGTGAGCCTCAAAAAGGAAGTCTGATATCTGTACAGGAAGCACCTGACGCCAATAGGGAGTCAATGCCAGAAACTGATGTAGAGGTAAATGGTATATCCTATCCCATGACCACTGACACTGAACTACCATATGGAACTGAGACAGACTCCATGGGAAGTATTGAAAGTGGGTTAAGAAGGAAAATAAAGAGAAATACTGTAGTACCAACAGATGGAGAGGAAACCAGTGGTCAGCAAACACCAGACAGTGAAACTAGAAAAGGCATGTCTATTATTCTTTCTGTAAATGGTTGTGCCTCATAAATGAAGTATGCTGCATAGTGATCGGTATACATTTCACTAAAATTTTTTTTTGCCAATGTGTAATCTGTGTTAGAGAAGCACGTCGTTATGCAGATAAAAGGTGTCCTTGACCATTTTATTCTGCCCTAACCCTGGCCAATCAGTTGACTTAACCTTGACAATCACAATTCATTTTGCAAACCAAGTGTTATTATAATGCTATGATGTTTTTGAATACTAGATGCATGGAGTGGAGAAGCAGACATTTCAGAGTCTGATGCTGCTCCTAGCAGACCCAGTTCAGCAGCTGCCATGTATCGACAAGCTTTAACCAAGCCAAAAACTAGACCTGCTACAGCTCCCGGAAAGAAGCCTCAAACTATACCTGTCACACGTCCCATGACTGCACCTTTACAAGCACTCAAATCAAAGAAGTCAGATTTGGACTTGGTAAATGTGCCTAGTACTTCTGGCATAGACTCAGGACAACAAATACAGGACACTGCAATAAATGAATGGTCAAAAAACAAGGAAATTGCTATCACAAATGGGGTAAAACATATTATTTTATTTAGATTTATCTAAGGGAAAGATCAATGAGGACAAAAATATGAAAAGGATTCACACAAAATCTGGTGACTCTGGTGTAGATCAAATTAGTGTTCAATTACAGCCTAGTATACCGATAAGATTTGGATGTTTTCAATGATCAATCATACTAATTCTTCTTTTTTTTCTATAGGAAATAGCTGAGCCATATAATGGTACACTGAAACTTACAGATGATACAAAGGATGCATGTAATGATTAATTTGATGATAAAAAGTTAGATTTACCCATATTTTAGAAAATATCTTTTTTTTTCCTCTCTAGTAAGTACAGTATCCAGTTGTGATCTTCTTGCTCCACCCAGAGTCAGTGGAGAACAGAATGCCTATATCCCTTTCTTTTATGCAAAAGAATGCATACAGAAGGTAGAAAGCCACATCAAAACCATTCATGATAAAATGAAAACTATAAGTCAGATTGCTGTTGTTTTAGTTAATTTCTATCCATATACATTGTAGCATCACATGAAATATGCTATGTATTTGTCAATTAATTTGGAAAATATTACTGAATTTACAGCTGATATGTTTACTAATTAATGTAATTAATTTTAATTTAATTTTAGTTGTCTGATTGTTTCACTATATCATTTTGATTATCTTAATTGTAGGTGATGGATGATATGAAAAAAATGAAAGCTAATCACATTAAAGTTGTGGATCAAATTCAAGATCAATACAAATCCATTGAAGATGAAATTCAGGTCAGAATACATTTGACTGAGGATTTATTCCAACAGATTTTGTAGAGATACCTGGAATGACTTAAATACAATAATTATTAAATGAATTATTATCTTTTTATTTTCAGGGGAAATTTAACACCTTTGTGATTGGTCTCAGGTCACAATATGCTGATAAAGTTCACACTTTCAGACATGTTATAGAAATACATCGCGAAGATACAGGTCGAAAACAGGAATATTGGCAGAATACTGTGAAGGTAATAAGGAGATCGAGTCTTGAAAAGAAATGATTGAAAGTGCACTTAATTAATTATATGAAATCACTTTTTCAGAGTATTCAAGCTAAAAACAAGAAACTTCTTGAAGAGAAAAGAGAGTTAATGATCAAGAACAGAGATGAATTCACTCGAATAGAGGAAGAGAAGGTACAATTCCATAAAATCGGACATTTTAAGTTAATGTAATGTCAGTCAAAGAGTGAATTGCAAAAGGGAATTATATCAATTTTTTCCTTGACAACTCTTCTTTGACAATTCAAGGTAAAAACAGTAAAAGAATTAATGGGAATGCTTGATGAAAAACACTCTAAATATACTTCAAGTAAGTTAATAATATTTTAATTGAACTGACTAGAATGCACTTCAAATTTGGCAATCTTGGTACCAAAACACCATTAATACTGGCCATTTTCACAACCCTGCATGGCCATCAAATGGAAACAAGATGATTACCAACATGTTGTCTCAAGTGAATAGTATATACTAAAATATCAAACAGTTTTCACAAATTTTAAATGATATAGAAAATAAAAAAATCAGACAGGTAGTGCATCATGCAATGTATTTCATGTTAAAGATTAATACAAATACTTAATCTCTATATAGTGCTGGCAGACTTTAAAGATGAGCACTCAAAAGCTCTTGAATTAGAAGAGAAACTAAAAGCTCTTGAACTTCAGAATCAAAAGCTTCAGCTAGAGTTTGACTCCAAGAAAGGAACTTATGAGCAGGAACTGACAGCAGTCCAGATAAAACACCAAGAAGAGCTACAAGAACAGAAGCAAAAACTTGATCAGCTACAAAAAGAAAAAGATGAAGCAGCAGAAAAAGAAAAGAAAGAAAAAGAGGAGTCATTGGAGGAAGAAAGAAATAGACTAGCTGACCAGAACAAGACCTTAGTTGCAGATATAGAAGCAAAGGAGCAGGAATTGGCATCATTGAAGGAAGATGTGGAAAAGCTCAAAATTCAGTAAATATATTTCATTCTTTCTTAGGGATAGGAAATTCTTCTCATCTTACATGTAAGTGTTGTCTTTTCATTCATTAAGAGATGCCAGTGTAGCTTCAACTATGGTAGTTACATCAGATCAAGAAGTCAAAGTAATTAAAGAACAGGCACAGGAAGAAGGAAAGYAACAGGGTCCTTTCAAAACAACAGTTCAAGACATGAAAGAGATTGAAAAACTAACTGAAGAAATTGATAAACTCAAAAATGAAAAAGCAAAGACGGCAGAGGATTTGAAAAATTCTGAAGAAGAAACAACCAAACTCAGGGAACAGCTTGACATGGAGAAAGAAAAAGTTCTTAAAGTAGAAGATGAAAATAGTCACCTTGGAAAAGAGAGAGCAAGATTTGAAAAGCATGCCATGGAAAATAAACAGGTAAATTGATCTGAAGGTGAGGTAATGGATTGAAAGCAGTGCAGCAAAATATATATAAAAGTAAACATAAATTATATGAGAAACATCTGAACACAAATTAAACATTCAATCTCTCTTGTTTCTGCAAACTAGGAAATCCGTGATCTGCGCCAGCAATGCACATCATTGCATGAACAGTTGCAAGGCTTGTTACAAGCTACATCACAAAACAAGGATGACAAAGAAACAGAGGAAAAGCTGAAGGCTGCAGAAGCAGAAAAACAAGCTTTGGAGGAGGAGCAGGCTAAAATGCAGAAAGAGTTTGAGAGGTGGCAAGAGCAGTATCAAGCTGAACACGGCGAGAAACCAACTGAAGAAGACAGGTTAGCTCCACTTGTTGTTGTTTTTCCATCTAGTTTGTTCTTCCTCAATTCTTTGTTGATTCTGTTTTACCCTCTCATCAACTTTTTACTTTYATTAATAAAAAAATGTAATTATGTAAAACACAATGTAAGTCTATCTTTAATGTACTGTTTTTAGAAGTGAGGAAGTCCAACAAATGCTTGAAAAGTTGAAGGAAGAGGAAGAAAAGTTGAGAAAAGCTGAGAACACCATCTCAGTGATGACCATGTTAAAGGAAGGAGCAGTACCTGATTCTCTTCCTTCTGGTTGTAAGTTTGTTGTTTTTTTTAACTTTATCAATGCATGCAATAACCCCAGTATTGCTTTCAGCTATGAGTGTCAGTAATGAACATCTAGAAGAGCTTGAAGACAGAATACAAAGGCTGGAAGAAGAGAAGGATGATCTTGAAGTTCAGATGGAAAAACTATCAAAAGAGTGGGAAATCAAAATTGAAAAGCTAACTAATGAAAATGAAATACTGTCAGAAAAGAATATGGGACTTGAGGAAAAGGTGTCAGAGATGGAAACACAAATTGAAGATCTCAATTCAGAGCTAAATGAAGCAAAAGATTCTCTTCCACCTGTGTCTAGCCCTACACTTGCTGTAGAGGGTGAAGATATCACGGTGAGTAGATTTGAAGGACAATATGTCAATATAAAATATATTAGTTGATTGTTTTGAAAGATTATCAAACTGATATGAAATATTAAGATTTTAATAAAAAAATTGCTTCCTGTAGACTTCATTCTACCACTCAGTTGATATCGGATAACTTTCACCAATAATACCAAATTATTTTCATCTGTATTTTTTAGCTCATGTCATCAAAGCTAGCTGAACTTCAGGATGAAGTCGATAAAACCTCTCTAGAACTTGAACAAGTCAAGGCTAAGAATTCTGCAAGGATGGATGAAATTGATTTCCTGAAGCAGGTTCTTTATTAGAATAGAAAGACTGCTATCTGCTGCTAATTAATCAAATCAATACTTATTACTTGTACTATGAATTTTTAGGAACTTGAGAACCTGAAAGAAGGCTCTGCTGGTGATGAAGATGCTCTTCGAGCTGAATTGAAGTCCACAAAAGAAAGACTTGAAGCTGAGAATGAAGCTAAATCCCGAGTAATATATCATGAAGTTTTTATAGTTTTTCTTTATTTTTATTTCAACTGCACTATGTGTATGCTGTTAAATATTTTGTACTTATATAAATATGTGTTTTTATTTTTATAGGATTTGGATGAAGCAAAGAATAGAAATAAGGAATTAGAGAATAAATTATTGGCAAATGTTCCTGTTGACACAGCAAAAGAAATGGAGTCTTACCAGCAAAAAATTGTGAGTTTTGCAGCTAATTCACTGTCAAACACATCCTCTGCTGATATTTGCAAAAATTCAAAATTTTATTTCATTATTTTGTGTCAATGTTTATTAGAGTGCACTCCAGAAGGAAAAAGAAAGTTTGTCAAAAGACAATTTGGCACAAAAAGCAAGTATTACAACACTAACTGTTAAAGTTGAATCATTGAACAACAACCTTGAAAGACAAAAGAAAAATGAGAAAGAATTACAGGTATAGTAGTATTGCCTAATTTTATTTGTTTCCAAAATTAGAAATATCATTCTTGTTACATTCTTGTAATCCTGAATTACGTTAACAATTACGATATATATATTTTGTATTGAATTACTGCAACACAATAATTAACACTTGAAAACAATGATATACCAAAAACCACTGGGAGTAATAATCTCTGATATTCAGTTTTACTATTTTGGTCGGAATGCTAATTAGTTTCAACCATTTTCCTGGCTCTTGGTCATGTGACTACCATTTTGTTATTGGTAATGGCCTGTACAACAAAGGAGTATTTATAATTCACAGAAAAGTCAGTAACCTATATTAACTACTTTCTATTAAATTCTCAGGAAACAAACAAACGGATGCGAGTAGAAAAAGACAAAGAAATTAAAGAAGCCAAAGAAAAGGCTGATGCCAAGTCAAAGCAAAAAATTGAAGAAAACAACAAAATGATTCAAATGTTACAAAAGAGAGTGAGTTATTTCTAGATGTTTGTAGCTCCCTTACCATTTAATAAGTGCTAAATGCAAAGGCTTGTACTCTTTAGATAAAAGAACTTGAAGCTTCTGGTATACCTCGTGGTGAAGCAAAAGTTGACACAAGTGCACCAAAACGAAAGGTTGTTTAAAATGTGTTAATTTATTTATCATTATCTTAATTAATATATTCCTAATGCTAATCAACTTATGATGAATTATTTAAATAGGATTCGAGAGCACTTGATCCTGATAAGGTTGCCAAGGAAAAAGAGAAGTTGTTGGCACAAATTGAAGCTTTAAAGAAAGCAGCACAGGTACTGATAAAATAATTCATGCCATCAACGTTTCAACTGCCTATAATAAAATCGCTATTTTCTGCCTCTCTCACTTAAGGAAGATCACAAGAGAATCAAGGGGCTTGAGAAAGAAGTCAAAGATGCTGCAGCAAAATCGAAACCAGCTGGCCCAAGTGCAGAAGAAGTTAGTTTCTTATATAATTAGTGCTAATCATAGCATTCAGTAGTCAAATACTTAAATGATGTCAAAATGACAAAACTTAAGTTCTCATAAGATCTTCACACCCTGTATCAATGGTCAGAATTTAATTTTAGGGTGTCACAGTTAGCATCATATGATCCCTCTAGAACTACTCCCTATACTTATATTCAATACTCAATTAATAACCTAACCTTAAGTGATTATTATTTAAAATTTTTAGAGAGCTGCTGCGAAGAAAATGGACAAACAGCTCAAAGGTTATTGTTATTATACCTGAAAGCACTTTTCATAATTTGACTGATTGTAACAAACCAAAACAACTGATATTTCTAGATGCCCAAAAGAGTCTTGAAATGGAAAAGAAAAAGTTTGAAAAAGTTAAAGAAACTCTCACCAAAACTGAAGAAGAATTGAAAGACTTGAAAAAGGTAACTTCCTCATGCTTTACTGCTATATTACCATGCTATTAACTGCTGTGTAGTCATGTGTCTTGTCTTGACTTTTCTATTGTAATCAAGCTGTACTGATGGGACACTTGTCTCTTTTAACAGCCGCAACTTCCAGTCTTGTCAAATTTCCTTCTTTCGGGGAGGAAATTTGACAAGACCGGAAGTCGCGGCTGTTAAAAGAGACTAATTGGACACTGACATGTGGAGATATGTAATATAAGAATGTATGTAATATGATCTATATTGTTACAGGAACATGATTCCCTTGTAGCTGAAAGCAGGAAAGATAAAGCAGATCTAGCCAAGCTTGGTGTTGCTGCTCAAGTAAATCTAATATATTTATTATAATTCAATCTCATCACAATGCAATCAGTCAACATCAAATTGCTATGCTATAGTGTAATATAGCAAGTATGAAATTTGTTTTAATATTTATTATCTTAGGAGGCACTTGCTGCTCAAGAAAAGGTGGATGAGCTGTCCAAAGAAGTGTCGTCTTTGAGAGATGAAAACAAATCACTATCAGACAATTTTAACAGTGAAAGAGTAGGTGTTTTTATATTTGTCATTTATAATCCTTTATTTTCTGCAGAGAGGTAGTCATATTGCAGCTCTGTTTTTCTGTTYTTGTTACCCTGAATTGCATTTGGCTACAAACTCTGAAACATATTGCATACAAAATATTCAGTTTCTGTTTTCTTTACTTCAATTTACAGATTCTTCGAAAGAAATATTATAACATGGTGGAGGATATGAAAGGAAAGATCCGTGTATACTGCAGGGCTCGACCTCTAAGCAAGAGTGAAGCAGAGAGAGTATGTAAAAAAATGTCATTTATTTCATTAATTATAATTATTTTTGTTATAGCTAGACATATTTTTACAACTCAATAAATATTATGTAATATTGTTTTCACTAGGGAAACCACTCAGTCCTCAAATCTCCAGATGAGTACACTGTGATTGTTGGTACAGGGAGAGGCCCAAAAGATTTTCAGTTTGACCAGGTGTTCACTCCTGATCATGGGCAAGAGAAAGTGTTTGAAGATACCAATGTAAGCAACAAACCCTAAGTTATGGTCATTATATTTTATGAAATAATTTTAAGAAACGTTATGCTGTACTAACCAGAAAATCAGCTTTAACACACAAGTAGCATACAGTAGAATACCCACTTGTTTACTGCTCTAGTAAATGGACAGCTTTCCGAAACCTGAATTTTACTTTCACACAAACACCACCATACTCATACTCTCATTTTGGTGGACATTCCCATCATAGAATGATAGGAAGGTCTCTTGTCACTATGTCATACAGTATGAGTGTCTGTAACCAAATCAAAGTAATTTCTGATTACAAACCTGTACAAAATTGTCTACAAAGTCCCGACAACTGAAATATACAAGGGAAAATCGATTTGACCTAATCATGTGTGTTCTCTTTTCGTGACTTGTGCAACTTGTGCTTTCGACACTACAATGTATTCAAACTATTTTTGTCTAGAACTAGGCACAACTTTCTATATTCTTCGCATTTGCAGTCAAATTTTGTATTTTTAAAGAATATTTCAGATTTTGAGGCACTGTACTATAATTCTAGATCTCTATGTTCCTATGAGATCTAATCTCTTACACCTGAGTCACATGCAGTCCTTGACTGCGTATTTTTATAACTGTTTTGAAGCTCTTGTAAGTATACATCATTTGAAAGAAGCACCATTCTTTAGCTGAYAAGCACATCAAGCACATCACTACTTCAAGATAGATGTAATATCATTGTAGTTGTATTATTAAACCTTAAAGTGTACATCAATTTTCCACTCATTCTTTTTACTCAGAATTTGATTCAGTCAGCAGTGGATGGCTATAATGTCTGTATTTTTGCTTATGGACAAACTGGATCAGGAAAAACATATCCTTTTCAAGCAGCCTTAAATTACTCTTATTTCAACTAATGCTGTTCGAATACTGTATCGTCAGAATATAGCTTGTACAACTACATTTATTTAGTAGTAACCTTAACCATGTTCACATTCACAATGATTGGTGACAAAGAAGGCAACTTCCCAGGGATTGCACCTAGAGCCATGGATGCTATCTATAAACTTATGGAACAAAACAGAAAGAAATTCTCCTTCAAAATCTACACTTACATGATGGAGTTGTATAATGATAAGCTAATTGATCTTTTAGCAGCTCATAACAAGGAGGTGAAACTATTAAAATATATACATGTAGTTTTGTACTATGATTATGAAGATCACTTCTATTGGGTTTGACAGAAGAGAGATGATATTATGTGGCTATGTTTGAGATCACTTGTGTCCTGGGTTGGCTAGTGGTAAATGTACTGGTAATGATGGAGATCACTTGTGTCCTGGGTTGGCTGGTGGTAAATGTACTGGTAATGATGGAGATCACTTGTGTCATGGGTTGGCTGGTGGTAAATGTACTGGTAATGATGGAGATCACTTGTGTCCTGGGTTGGCTGGTGGTAAATGTACTGGTAATGATGGAGATCACTTGTGTCATGGGTTGGCTGGTGGTAAATGTACTGGTAATGATGGAGATCACTTGTGTCCTGGGTTGGCTGGTGGTAAATGTAATGGTAATGATGGAGATCACTTGTGTCCTGGGTTGGCTGGTGGTAAATGTACTGGTAATGATGGAGATCACTTGTGTCATGGGTTGGCTGGTGGTAAATGTACTGGTAATGATGGAGATCACTTGTGTCCTGGGTTGGCTGGTGGTAAATGTAATGGTAATGATGGAGATCACTTGTGTCCTGGGTTGGCTGGTGGTAAATGTACTGGTAATGATGGAGATCACTTGTGTCATGGGTTGGCTGGTGGTAAATGTACTGGTAATGATGGAGATCACTTGTGTCCTGGGTTGGCTGGTGGTAAATGTAATGGTAATGATGGAGATCACTTGTGTCCTGGGTTGGCTGGTGGTAAATGTACTGGTAATGATGGAGATCACTTGTGTCATGGGTTGGCTGGTGGTAAATGTACTGGTAATGATGGAGATCACTTGTGTCCTGGGTTGGCTGGTGGTAAATGTAATGGTAATGATGGAGATCACTTGTGTCCTGGGTTGGCTGGTGGTAAATGTACTGGTAATGATGGAGATCACTTGTGTCATGGGTTGGCTGGTGGTAAATGTACTGGTAATGATGGAGATCACTTGTGTCCTGGGTTGGCTGGTGGTAAATGTACTGGTAATGATGGAGATCACTTGTGTCATGGGTTGGCTGGTGGTAAATGTACTGGTAATGATGGAGATCACTTGTGTCCTGGGTTGGCTGGTCGTAAATGTACTGGTAATGATGGAGATCACTTGTGTCATGGGTTGGCTGGTGGTAAATGTACTGGTAATGATGGAGATCACTTGTGTCATGGGTTGGCTGGTGGTAAATGTACTGGTAATGATGGAGATCACTTGTGTCCTGGGTTGGCTGGTGGTAAATGTACTGGTAATGATGGATGTAGCCACACATTACAGAACAATTTTTATTAATTGTTGGTTTACAAATGTTTGAGTCTATAATATAGGTAGAGATGACCAGGACATTTGTAGTAAATAGTGTATTTTTAACATCTACATTTTTGTTGTTCTACAGCCAGCTAAACTAGAAATTAAAAAAGACAAAAAGGTAATTTTAATTTGGTTTCATTTCCATGATTTTCTTGTTCATACAATATAAATGTGATATTATTTTGATGAAGTGCTGCTATAACAGCAATGGTTACATTGTAGGGACTTGTGTTTGTTCATGGATCCGTCATGCTTGAGGCCAGCACTAAAGATGAATTATGGTCTATTTTTGAAAAGGGTTCTGAAAACCGTCATGTTTCATCAACAAGTAAGTTTGTTGAAAGGATTTTTGGAAAAAATGTATTATGTGATTGGGTAATCCATACACCTTAAAATGATAAAAAACATGACTGTGTTTGTTACAAATTCGTCCTTTCTCAGAGAAAGGAAAAAACTCAGAAGTATTTTGTATGTTTGTGGTTGTTTTACCTATTTTTCTTCATTCCAAGAAGGATGAACATCCAAAGAGTTAGTATTAGTTTTCTATCCTCTCACATTGTATAATCTTTTCTTCTTTACTACAAAGGTTGTCCACCCTACTCAAAATTGCTACCTAATCTTTATCTTATTATCACATTTTGTCACAACTGTGCTAGTCATGATGTTTGGTGTATTTCTTAAACAGAAATGAATGCTGAGAGTTCCCGATCCCATTTGATCCTGGGCATTATTATAGAAAGCACAAACCTGACTTCAGGAGCTGTTGTAAAGGGAAAGGTAGATTACATTCCCTGCAAGCAGACGCTTTCACAATTGATCCCGACAAACACTCTAAGCCCCTYCTAGCAGGAAATATCCAATGATGAATACATTAGACAACAAAGGATAAATAAAATAATTTGGTATAATGATCCCTTTCAGCTGAGCTTAGTAGATTTAGCAGGCTCAGAGCGGGCAGCCAAGACTGGAGCTACTCCAGAACAGTTAAAGGTAAATTTCCATTTAATTGATAATTGAACAATTCTCATTTTTTACAATTCATGAATTCTGTTGTTGGTGTTTGTGTATTATTTGTTTTCTTGTTTCTCTAATTTATGTAATCATTGGACTTACAACATATTAATTACAGGAAGCCCAATCCATTAACAAGAGCCTGAGCGCCCTCGGAGATGTGATATCAGCATTGTCCAGTGACCAGCAGTTCATCCCATATCGTAACAATAAGCTTACAATGTTAATGCAGGATTCYCTTGGTATCTAAACTTTTATTTTTTCTAAGCACCTTTCAAAGATATTAGGATTTAGTGATAAAATATATAATAAAAAAGACAAATAGAGAAATGTGTTGTGATATAAGACATATCTACATATAATATAACCAGCTCTATTTTGATTAACAGGTGGTAATGCAAAAACACTTATGTTTGTGAATATTTCACCCGCTGACTACAACACAGACGAAACTGTGACATCACTAACGTAAGGATTGTAGCTGTAATGTTTAAAATGTCATCTGAGGTCTTTGAAACTTGATATGGATTTGTCCAAGAGTGATAAAGTGATTCATGGTTATTGATTATCAGATATGCATCTCGAGTCAAACTTATTACCAATGATGCCCAAAAAAACGCAGACAACAAGGAAATCACAAGACTCAAAGGCGTAAGTTTTTTTCCGTTTGTACTTCTGCCTGTTTGGGTTAACAGTGAGTTTCTGGTGTGAAAATGGCCATTGCTAATTATCTTGATTCTTTGTTAATTTTCAATTCAACAGATCATTGCTAAGCTTAAAAAAGGCGAAACTGTGGACGAAGATATTGAGTAGGGCAGACTATGTTCGACAGGTACATGTACCTCAATAACTTGAAATTAGTTTAAGGGATATTTATCCAGTAAAAAGATAATGAAGCAATTTGCAGGTCTGAAAACAATTGATGAGCTTTTCTTTTTGAATTCTAGGTTTTCATGGTGCTGTTGGTCTTGGTCTCATTAATTTTTTGTCACTGGCACAACATGATCAGTATATTATACACTATTTAGATTGATGATTTATAAATATATAATGAATTGATCCAGAAGCAGCTGTTAAGGATATATTCTCTTGTAGATAGATTTAGTTATTTTTAATTGTATATACTAGAAAAAATTCATTCCTGGCATGCGATAACCTTATATTTATAACTTTATAACTTTATAACTTTATTTATAACTGATTATTCATACATTTTACTACAAACTCACCATGCCTTCCTAGTTGACTGTATAATTTATTTTCCCTTTAGACCTATGTTTTGCACTTGTAAATACGAAAGATGTACATACAATTAATTTTCATCATGAAGTTTTGACTTTAGAGCTAATAATATTAAAGATTATTTACATAATATTGATTTGATATGTGTTTTTGTTTCCAAGACAATTAAAGCCCTATATGAAATTTTGTTTTGCAAATGTTCACTCAGCACCGAAAAGAAGTGGTAAGGGAAGAAAGATGTTGAGAGGAGGTACAAGAAAAATTGTATCGTTTTTAGATACTCCCAAGTCTGATTGGGTCATCCTCGGGAACCGAATTGGGTTCCCGAGGATGCCATGATATGATGTGAATCTGAAGTGAAGATAAACTTGCGGTCCATCTTACCATAGCAACTCCAGTTATTTGACATATCTCGCTGACCTTGTAATTAGTATGATAGACGTAGTTAGTCGGTTCAATTTTGGTCTGTGAGTTTAATAAGCATGGATTTGCTAATTTAAAATCACAATACATCCCTCTTGAAACTTTCTAAAATAGCAAAATTGAGATTTAAAAACATTAAAGGAATTTGTGTGATTCATTTCTTTCCCCTCAGGAACAGCTTTTTACTTTATCCATAGACTGATTGTTATGTCTGATCGGTAAGAACAGTGTCACGCACCGTACTTTTTTATTGGTCACGCAAATGATTATGTTAATTTTGACTTTATCAATTTCTTCACATAATGAAGTAGCAGACTGTTTTTTGTGTGGGAAATATTTTTGATAGTAACAATGAATATTTGTGCAATGAATATCCAGTTGTGGTAAGAATTGCATTTTACCCGAAGCACACATTCCATGCATAGTAAACTAAAGACCTTTGTACTCCATATATGGCAAAGGCACGCAGGCTCATCAAGGTTTTTGGGCGTGAAGAACCCAATCACTCGGCCAGAAGTTGTGCTTGACGAAAGCTGCCAGGATATTTCTGCTGTTTCTTTCTAGCCCGATCGCTCTAACAGACTAAATACAAGATGGAGACCATTAAAAAGAAGATGAACACTCTTAAAGAGACCCTAAACGATGCTGAAAAACGGGCAAATGAAGCTGAAGACGAACTAAAGAAAGCCAACGAGAGAGCAGATGCGGTATGAGTAAGCTTTGTTGTGCTCAAAAGCTGCCGTCGTGTTTCAGCATTTGTGGATTTTTTTAAGAATAAGGTTACCAATTCTGACTTTTCTTTGACGATTTTATGTGTTTCGGTATTATTAATATCAAAGTATGGATAGATTTTTGCCAAAACCTGAAGTATTTTGTATATGAGCTTGTCTGTAAGTCAGCAGTGGTGCATCCAAATTAATAATAATCACACAGAGTTTCCAACTTTTCTGCGCACATACTTAGAATCTTCAATCCATTCTTTAAGGCCGAAGAAGAAGTTGCTTCTTTAACGAAGCAGCTCCAACAACTCGAAGACGATCTGGACGCTGCCGAGTCAAAACTTGCAGAAACATCCGTAGCTCTTGCAGAAGCAGAGAAACAAGCAGATGAGAGTGAGAGGTAAAACTTATTTTTTTCAATTGATTGAGGGTCATAATTTCCACATAATTCAAGAGTGGTCTTTTTCGCGTATATTGTGTACCCAAGCCTTTTGTAGCTTCTTGTGTGGGAATTTTTCATACGAGAAGATTATATAAACAAAATATTTTGTAAAGACTGAAGCAACATTCTGTTGTCACAGATTCTGTAAAAGAGATAGTAATTTTCACTTGGGGGTTCAGCTAAACATATGGATATGTCATTGAACAAACAAAATATGCCTCAAAATCTTTGAGGCAGTGTGCCAACCCAAGGGCAAGAGTCTTAATGAATGTGCATTGCTCTTGTCCCTTTGTTGTTACACATTCCTTTGAGACACAAACAAAACGTTAACGATTGAGTAGAGCTGATGCTTACAATTACTAAATAAATACAATATTATATATTAATTCTTATGTGATCCACACTCTCCATATTATTTTGCTGTTAATTATTCTTATAATAGAGCAAGGAAGGTATTGGAAAATCGAGGTCAAACTGATGAGGAGAGAGTAAGTGATGAATGTAAAGCACTGTAAATATACTATTAGTATTTGTGCATTTCGTTTACTACAGTATTTGTTGACTCATATGCATTGTGCACACTTACTGTCTGGGAACCCATACTTGGACATTGGCGTGACTAAAAGGTGGCATATCACAGGAACAAAGTACCAGGTTTCATGCCCAAAATCAAGATCACAATATTGTACTTAGGAAACCGTGCAATTTCTAGATTTTTTTCCTGGGGACCAGAAAAATGCAATGTTCACACTATTCCCAGATCTGGTCACCAAGTGTTAACAGTGCTATATAAGTGACAAAATTTGAGATTGCTCCAAATTGTACATTTCAGTTGGCATCTCTTGAGAGGCAGTATAATGATGCAAACACCAGAGCTGATGAGGCTCAGCAACATTATGACGAGGTACGGAATAACTTATAAAATTAATACGTTTAATAGAAAATACTACATTCTATAACCCCAAACCTTGAGATTCCTTTTTATTGGTCTTTAATGAAAGCAAACTTGATTGCTCCCATCACCAAAATCCATTGTAACATTTTCATCAAGGACTTGAACTTATTTATAAAGACATTACTGCTGCTTCTCCCTGTCAGAATTTACTGGCCTAAAATCTCTATGCAAGGCTATTCAATCCAACAGCTCGTATAATGTACATGTAGGATTGTTCAACAAATGTTTAAGCTGTATTTATACAACAACAAACTTACAGTGTTTGTGTTTCAGATTAACAACAAACTTCAAGAACTTGAAAATGAGCTTGAAGAAGCYGAAGCTCGTGCCGACGCAGCAGAAGAGTAAGCAAAAATATTTTTTACCAAATTAACCCAAGATACAGTTGCCTTGATTACTTTAATATCAATTTTAGGCGAGTAAAACAATTAGAAGAAGAAGTTACTCTTGTTGGAAACAACTTAAGAAGCTTAGAAATCAGCGAGGGCAAAGCAACAGAACGCGAAGGCAGCTATGAAAATCAAATTAGAAGTCTCGAATCCCAGCTTGAAGAAGCTGAAGAACGAGCCGAAAAAGCGGAGTCAAAAGTCAGAGAGCTTGAAGCCCAAGTCGACGCCATGGAAGGTGAATGTTCCTCAGTGTTGCCCTATTTTACCAAGAATATCATTTTGAATATTGTTCTCTTTCTTCACAGCCGAGCTCGAAAAGGCAAAGGAAGAATATCAAAAGGTTAAGGAAGAACTCGACCAAACTCTTAACGAATTGAATGAAATGTAATGTCACATAATTGATAGAACTTTGACAGACAATTACCTTTCCTTGTATTGAATTTTAAAACTGGTGCTTCAAACACTCATTGATGCAGTTCCGTTAGTCTTCACAACTTTGTAGACATGAATGTTGAGTGATTTGAATATTATGATATAACTAGTTTTCCCCAAAAGACAATAAAACTTATGTKTATGTATATCATGATGTAATAAAAATTTTGTTTGCAATAACCATGAAGTTGTCAATACCCAAACTCCATCAGGTGTTGATTGTAAAAAAGCTAAATTTGCTATCCACTTTATCTAGAGATTAACCTTTTTTAAAGTAATTTAAAAGAAATCCACCCTTTACAGAAACAAGCAGACCCCAGGGGAAACAGTTCTAAGTGATTTTGTCCCAGATTTATACTAAAAGGAAAGTCCTGGGTTGTGTGAGGTGACAAATTATTCTGTGATACCATTGCCATAATACTGATTGGAAATATCACATATATACTGATAGATTCTTATTTAATACAAAAAGTAATTATCCAAATTACAATTGAACCATATATCATAAATACTACCTCGTTTGAATGGAAGTAGCATATATATTTAAATGTTTTCTATATACATCATGGATTACAGGTTAAAATTCTCTTAACAAAACTACAAAATATTCTAATAATTATAAACATTTTTAGTAGTCCGTTTCCTCAAGATATCTTTTATTTTATTAGTAAAACTAGTGGTGTCCATTGCTAGGTCAACATTGCTGTACTTCTAATTTCCCAACTTCATCTCCCTGAAGTACTTGATGACTGTTGACACTGAAGTTATGGAAATTATTATTGTTCATTGAGGAGTCTTCCCTTTTTAACACTTTGGAAGCTCTAATACTGCATTCTGGGGATGGAATCTGTCTCTTGAAACTAACAATTTGTAATTCGGCATTTTGGCTGCACACCTTTAGATTATTACCATTGTAACTCGATTGTGACTTGGAAGGCTGAATGGTTGCTGCTCCATCCCTATTGGCTATGACACTGTTGTGCAATTGGTGTGAAGGGTTTTCTGGCTTAACCTGGACTGTTTGGACACAAATTCCTGGAATAAGAGCTTTTTTCATCTGTGCTGCTGAATGTTTGATATCACTTGTATCTGTTGTTAAAGTCAGTGGTATTTCGTGCTGTCTGTTTGCTTTGTTTTGTTTTGCCTGGGTTTCCATAGTAACATGTAATGCTGGTAATTTGTCTTGAGATATTGGTTTTTCTACTGTATGTGGATTAGCAATCATAGTTTCATGATGTTCCATAGAAGTTGTTTTCTTAATAGTACTATCAGGAATCACTGTTTGAAGAATGATCCTATGTTTTGTAGTGYAGGACTTGATGGCCTGGGATTCATCACTTTGGGCAGCAAAAGTCTCCCTGTGCAGTTTGCTTACTGGCAATGCAATTGGTTTGAGAATTTCAGGTACAGGCTTTGTGAAGTGTTTGATAGCACCAGGAGGACTAATACTCCTATTATTGGGTTCTTGAACACCAGGCTCGGCTTTCAGATTATTGAGGGAATAGCTTGCTAAAACACCTTGAAGGACATACCAACGCGGTTTGTCAAATAAACGACTTTCTTTTTTGGCTATAGCACGGATCTTCTTGCTAAGTTGTCTCTTTGAAATATGTCCTTTCCCATTAAGAGTTGGATAAGCTCCCGTAGAACTACATTTATTGGACCAATGTTGCTGGAAATTGTTTACTAATTTGTCCAAACCATCACTACTTCCATGGATAAGATGAATCAAGTCAAGCATAGCTGTAGAGAAGAAACTAGAGTTAACAATATTACATGGGTAACATGGCGACTATCGACAATAACATCATGCACTATTCAGATTATTGCCCTGTTTGTTTGCTACACGGTATGAATCTCACAAAAACGAATCTTAACTGGTAGAATTGCCATACCTTCCTCAGGGACATACATGGCTGTACTGCTGCCAGCATCAGGAGTGGTGAATGACAGTGATTCTCCTTTCTGCACATCATCTAATACTACAGATGTGGACGATGTTATAGAAATTGATGGACCATCTACCAATAGACATGCTTGAAATCTTTTCAGGACATCATCAATTTCATTGTAATCAGGCCAAACACAGCCAATACAAACAGGCCTCATTGCTTTACATCTTTTCATGAGTTCTGCTTCCCATGCTTTTGCTTTAGCCAGCTGTTGCTCCTTCTTGGCCAAGGTGTTGCCCTTTTTAGAATGGATATTTCAATTAATGTTGAGATGCATTAATTAATGGATAGATAAAACACATTGTTGAGTTAAAGTTTGGGATAGATGGGAAAGAATATGGAAAAATTATGAGTTTATTCAAATGAATAAGTCATCATTTGAGACACACTCTCAAAAGTTTTGAAATCACAACATCAATCTTTTTGGATTATTTTTTTATCCTTTGACAGATAGACTTACATCATGTTCTTCATCGTCTTCATGGATGCCTTCATCATCTGATAGGTAACCATGAGGTACCATCCACCCATCTTCATCTTCTTCATCACATTCTTCAGTTTCCTCTTCGTTGTTATCCTTGAAATACAACAAACCATATTATCAAATCTGGAACAAACAACAAGAAAAATATACTGATAATACCTCTGGCTCACTGTCAGATAAACTCTCACCAGGCTCCTCCTCTTCCCACTCATCATCACTCTCAACTTCATAGTTTAACATGGCCTGAAATTATTAAAATAATGATGTTGAACATGATTGTTATCAAGTAAGAAGTACATGTACAATAAAATCGGACAATTAGCATTTCATATCATATCACACTTTATGCCAATTAACAGACTTGTACCCAAAAAATGAAGTAATCAGACGTACCTAAAATCACAAATCTCAACAAGAAAACGATTTATAGTCACAGGAGCAGTTGAAGGAATCAACAATGAACAAACAAGATTAGAATCAATTGTTTCAGGGCTGTAGGTAAGATCAGGGAATCAAGACACTTACTGTGGATACTTTGTCAAGCTACTACTTTAGCAAACACTGATATTTAAGAAATATAAAACGGCACGTGTGTCTCTGTCCTCTGATATAAACATGGTGGGAGTTCGAAAAAAAAAAGAGAAGCAAGCTTAGGAACACGAGCGTAGCGAGTGTTTCTCTTGCTTCTCGAGTGTTTTTCAACTCCCACCGTGTTTATATCAGAAGACAAAGACACAAGCGGCCGTTTTATATTTCTTTTATAAAATTTTTCGAGCGAAAAGAAAATTTTACCGGTAAGCCATGTCTCTGTCCTCTGATATAAACACGGTCGTCAGCCAATCAGAGCGCGCGTTAAATATCAAAAATTTTATAAATATATATTCTTGGTTTGCACTAATCACGTGACATTCTAAAAGTGCTATTTAGAAACCAAATTAGCGAAATGTTATTATTGTCCTCGATAGAACATCTAATTTAAAGTATCATCACGAACTTTTGAGCCAAAATAATGCTTTTTTACAGAAATACGAGCGATCGAAAATTGGTAAGAATGTATGGGATTATCACGGCTCAATGCATTTTAGCCAGGTCAAGAAATACCTACAAAAGACTTTGTTTAAAGATCGAAATGAATTTTTTATGTTCAAGGCCAAAAACAGCATATAATTCCCAACAGTTATGCAAAATTTGAAGTCAAACTGCCATTTTGTAGCAAAAATATAAGCGTTTGAATGCGGTCTTACTTTACAAGGGAATGTATGGGAAAGCCCTAATGGTGTACAAGTCCAGTACACCAACCACGCCGACAGTAACTCCGAGTGTCGAAATGAGCTCAAAACTTATGATTTTGCTTCAGTTTTCAAACAATATCATTCTAAAAATCCAATTTAATGCTGAGGCTATACTTGTTTTAAGATTAATAGGCTTTATACGTGAATAACTCAACGAATAAACAGCAAAAAAAGTTGAAACTTTCAGAGAAAACTTCTATCATGCTCTTCAAGGTATTTCAGTACTGTAATGTTGTGTGTCTGTGATTTTAGAATTTTTTTCGACTGATGACTTCATGTGCAAACCGAGAATATAGATAGTAAAGCAAAAATGTGTTATATGATTGCCTTGATAACTTGTCTTACCAACATCCTGTCTAAAAATAGTATATTACCTCATCCTTCTTAAAAGGATTTTTTGCTGATATTATCTTGCTTCTCTTTCTTTGGGTACCATAATAAGGTGGCCTGTTATTTTCATAAAATTTGAGAAATACAGCTTTCATATGAACTGCTTTCTTCTCATCATCCTGAATTTCAACAACTGAGCTAGATTCACTGTTGTCATCATCTTCHTCGTCATCTTCATCAATAACTTCAATTACTGGTATTGTAGGTTTGCCACTTGGTGAATTAGCATCATGTTCTTTGTATGACTTTTTAGCTAATTTTCGTCTTCTTGTTCTTGTGAATGGTGGCAAAGGCTTTCTTATTTGTAGATTTTGCAAGTACAAATTTGATTTAATCTACAGATAAATAAGAAAGTAATTTAAATTGCCTGTGATGTTTGAAACCTAAAGCCCGGTCTAACTAAGGTCAAGTTTACAAGGAATTTAAAAACAAACTAAAACAATAGATTACTGATTATGATGACCATCTAACTTACTAAAGTGCAATTGTTTTTATTACCTGCAATTTGAAATCATTATCCAATTCCTGTTTGGACTCTTTGCAGAACTCAGAACGACAAAGTGGGGCCAGGCTCATGCTCGGCTTTATTTCAAAAGGCTCAAATTTTAATACAGATTTTGGTAAAGTCTAAAACCAAAACAAGCAAAAATAATTGACAACGTCTCACTTGATCTAGACACAATTATGTATGATAGGGGGAAATAAGCCAAACCATTCTGCGCAAAACCGATGATAGTCAATAAAAAATTATCTGTTCATTTGACAATCCATGATAAATTTCAATAATGGCTTGGTAAAGTATAATGAAACATACATTTTTATTTAATGTAAAACAGTACCTTTGGGGTAGCTAAAGTTGTCTTTGTAAAGAAGCTTTTAAAGGAATTTCTTGCCTTTAATTTCTTTCTTTCCTAAGAGATTACAAAGTAAACAACATTGTCATCATCAAAATTATCATTATGGAGTTACACTGTATGCTTATTGAAGTTCTAAAATTGCAGTTGGTGTACAACTGAATTGGATAAAACTGTACAACAAAGAATGACATACACAGTGCATCATCATCTAACATCAAACTTATAATTGATGCAGACATCATTCAAAATCATATTAATTCACAAACATCAAGCAATTTAAATAAGGCAAACTAACACTGACATTATTTCAGTTTTCTCAGTTATCACTATGAATCATAGGAAGTGGGTAATAAGCTAACCATCTCTTCTTCTTGTTGCTTTTTCTCTTCTTCTTTTTTCCTTTTCTCTTCTAGTTTTGCGCTTCAAATAAAATAAAACAAAGATCAAGTTATTGTTCAAAATGAGTCTTTTTGAAGCTATCAAATACAGTATTTACCCATAGAATCTGATACTCACTTTTGCTCTTCTTCTTTTTTTCGCCTCTCCTCTTCACGCTTTTCTTTCTTTTCCTGCTTTTCTTTTTCTTCTCTAAGCTTTTTCTCCAATCTATCTTTTTCCTTTTTCTCTTTTTCAGCCTGCCTCTCAAGTCTTTCTTGTTCCTTCTTCTGTTTTGCCTCAAGTCTTTCCTTTTCTTTTGCAGCTTTTGCTTGCTCTCGCTGTTTCATCTTCTCTTCCTTTTCTTTTCGCTACAAAAGAAAAAAACAATATCTATAACAAATATTATCTAAACAAAGCAAACAAAAACAATGAAATTACTCTTCACACAATAGTTATTACATGTAAATATCACTTACAATAACTCTTCGATTGCTAAGCCAATCTCTGAGTTAAAAATGATTCACAATCATTAAGATCATAATACATGTAACACTAATAGAAGTATCGTTAGTACATGCTATGTAAACAATACCTTTACTTCTTTCATATTATCCCGTTCTTCTTTTCTTTTCTTTTTCTCAGCACTCGACAAACGCTGCACTGGAGTGTTAGAAAGCTAAAAATACAATAAAAAAGCTTTCAATTGTGGCTTAAAAATACTTTTGCCATTGTTCACATATGTATTTAATAGATGATAGACTACAAGACTTTGGAACATGTTAAATTTGGTAATAAGGTAGAAATTTGTAATGATACTGAAGCATTCRAAGGTTTTTTATTTCTTTTTACATCTAATCATAACAAAAACAGAATGAAACATCCACCTGCAATACACAGATGCAAAGATTTGCTGTAGGTTTCTATATTATGCTGCAGAAAACATCTTCATTGTTTGCACTAGGGTTAACCCATACCACACACAAATCTCGACGTGCAGAGTTTTTGCTATTCAGACACTTTTGACAAAAAAATCTAACCTAGAACCCCTGATGATAACCCATCATAATGATTAAAGTGACATTAAAATAACTTAAAACAACTAAAATGGCACAAACATTGCTGGTACTGTTATCCTGATTAACTGATACTGGAGACTTTGGAGATTGCTGGTTAGTTACTGTTATGTCAACAACCATCACATCATSGTCGTCATCACATGTAAGACTCATTTGTGTTTCTTTGTTAGATGGAGATGTAGCAGCTGTTACCAGTCCTCCAAATTTTGAAGTGATCACACCATCTTGCTCAACTACTGAAAGGCAATCTTTCAAATCTATTGATGTCGTGGTACTTTGTTTTGGTGCTGACTGGAAATTTAGGACACCTATAGCAACAAATAAAAGAAGCTGTTTTCATAGACAGAGTGTATTGCAAGCGTGCAAGGGATTTCATCGTTGAGTTTGAAAACGCTGCGAGAGCAATGAGAATATAAAATCTTCAAGCACCCATGTAATATTCTATTATCATAGAATTATAGAAGCACCATAAAAAAAGACAGTTTCTATCATTGGTGAACATAACAAAGGTTATTAGAAAATAATATAGGCAGCAATTTCAAAAAACGTTTCTGTAGAAAATATATGTCATTTTGAGGTTCTATAACAGGAATGAATCGGGTCTTAATAAATCGAGCTTACTTATTACTTTATGATACTTATAAAGTCTTATTGAGCAAAGTCACCTTGTTTAAGTCTCTTACACGGCGGGCTTGAACAGGGATCACGGCCAGACAGATTTTCAGTACAAGTGTCGCCTATCGTAATATAATTTGTCAAGCACAACCAAAGAAATTGAGTACAATTGTAGTTTAATATTAGGACAATGCAATTCAAAGCTAACCTTCAAAATTTGGCGCTTCTTGTTCGGTGGATTTMCCGTTCTCTTCAGGTCCTCTCATGTTAATTATCGTTCAAACTCTTTTATGCACATATAAAGCTTAAATTCAAATATATAAAACGTCGATTTGTGGTTTATGAGTATTATCTTAAGCGAAAATTGGCTCTTCCGTTGTAATACATCGATTCTTCTTCTTGCCGATTGAAAAATTGGCGGGAAGAGGCTATTTTACTCGCAATGCATCATAGGAAAACATTCTTGGTGGCCTGGTACGAGCTAGGCCCAGTCTTTCTGGAACGTACAAGAATTGCCAGCATTTAATCTTTAATCGCCAAAGTTTATAACCCTTGCATTTGTGATGAACGCACCAGAAACATTTGAGCCTTTCCTGTTATTAGATGGAGAAAAGAAGTGAGTAAAAAATTAAAAGTGTCAGATGTTGCTCGCAAATGAGATTATTAATGTTTATCTTTTAGTTCTTTATTAAGCTTGAGTTTCTGAGCTTGAGTTATGAGAAAATGTTTTGATTTTTTAGAATTACTATTACTAAAGATACTAAGGTACCAAATGCGGCACACTTTATTGTAAACAAAGAAGATCACACGTTAGGAAATGCATTGAGAGCGTAAGTATTTTATATAGTACATTGCATATAGCCTGCCTAAACTGTTGCTTGATAGAAGAAAAGAACGACGTCGCACGCTTTGAATTTAAGACGCACACTCTTAGTGAAATGCGGATTTTCTTCTATCTATATTTGTAATATTTTTTCATAAATTCCCTTTATAATTTACCAATAAGATTATATGTATAAAATATTTCTTTTATATTCTATTTATATTTGTTATACAGTGGCCTGCCGTTGAATAGTTTTAACTACTTGCAGGTCACTGAAAGCCATGTATTTATACACCTATTGATGGTTTTCAACCATTCCCATGAGAGTGAGCAAAACAAAAAGGTCCACCAGTCACGGTGGTGGTTTTCTTTTGTCAGGTCCACCAGCAATGGCGGACATCTTTTGTTTAACTTTCTCTCCTGGGAATGGTTGAAAACCATCAATTTCAAAAAATGTTGTCGTCACCACGACACTGTCCACAGTCTTGAGCCTGCAAAGTATCTCGGGGTTTCCATGCGTAATTGATATATTCAAAATATATTGTGGTTTGAAAGGCAGACGTCACGTACAAGTCAGACAACAATACCCCATCAACAGTGCAAAGAGCGGTCCAAAGACTGGTTGTACTAGTACCGAGAAGTCCCATTGAGAAGAATTTAGACATTTTAGAACATTGAACTTTATTGAACGCTTTATTTAATAGTATAACTCATCCGTTTTTGTTAGAATCAAATTCAATGCCTTTCGTATTCTTGGGCTGTCAATGAAACAAAAGAATAAGTTGCTTGGTTTTGAGGCTAACACAGACCAACAAGAACTCTAAATCGGAGTATTTTAAATAACTAAAATTGAATATGTAATTTTATATGGCAATCCCTAGATTCTTTGCAGTGAACTGGTGACAACAACATTTTTTGAAATAGGTGTATATTGATCCAAATGATAATGAAGTGTAAGTGTAAAGGTATCACTTCATGATCTTGTGTCTCATGGGATGTTAACTTGACTATGAATTGCCATAGACTAGCTTGTATCCCACAAGGCACAGGATCATGACGTCATAATCACAGGTAATCCCCATTTCACTAAGAGAGTGCATCGATAAATAAAAACATAGATCAGAGGAAGCATAGCTTGTTCTCAATAAATAGTTTTGCATCCTTTGGTGTGTGTGTTTTCATCAGGGGGTCGATTAGAGTTCCCTGATGAAACATGACATAAAAATTGTTGAGACACTAATCATCCATTGAAAGCACTGCATGACATGCATTGTACTTTTAATGTTCAAACACTTTTGTGAGAATTGAAATAAGTTGCCACTGGCTTAGATATAATCAAAATTTATTTGTATGTTTGATTAAAAATCCAAGCCAGAGGTAAATTAAGTCATTCCATCATGCCTGCAATTTTCACATATATTCACCTTTTTGTTTGTTTTTGTTTTTTCCTCAAGACAACTTCTTAGAGACCCACAAGTGATATTTGCTGGATATAAGATCCCACATCCATTAGAGCATAAGTTTGTCCTCAGAGTGCAAACAACTTCAGACTACAGTCCCCAGGAGGCTTTTACTAATGCAATTACTGACATGATTAGTGAGGTGTCACTTTTGGAGGAAAGATTTAAGGTGAGACATTAATCAATTTTTGTTAGACATATTGAATGGATTTCCTTGCATATTTGATACCCAGATGGAAAGGATACAGTACAATCAATCAGATAATAGGCAATGTGCAGCAATACCATGTTGTGAACTTTGGAAGAGTGAGTAGATTGCAGTCAATGAGTACATTTCATAAGGAGCTCATATACCTATAAATCATGGAAACAAGACCTCAAAGGCCTTCCGTCTATAAATCACTACGAAGTGTATGTATGTAGTGTCTAAAAAGTTTAAAAAGATGTATTGGTTGTTATTTAAAACAAAACATTCTTTCAAGACACCATGGAGTTTAACTATTTGGAGGCTGGCAGGTTCCCATATGTGTTGTTTTCCTGTAGTCTCTTTTTGTGCTGAAAATAGGCATGGAAAGAAGTAATGAGTGCTAATGGTTGCTATTTATGTGGGTCTTTTTGACTACTACAATAAGTATTTCAGGCTATTTTCTAAATTTTCTTTCAGGCTGCAATCAGAGAAAAGCATGAAGGGATTGAGTGAACATTACTGTCAATTCAGATTAATCATGGCATAAACCTTACAAAGACAACACTTTTCACTGTCTTCTTTCTTGTGTTACAGAACTAAGATTGGTATCAATATAAGCTTTGTATCATGTTTATTTCTTGTAAATAGGATTCTTTGTCAAGGACTATGTGACTTATTTGTGCCTTTTGTAATTGTGATTTTTATGGCCACAAGGTTTTACCAGGTTAGGATTAGAGTTGTCCCTTCACACATTTGTTTTTATCACGTGGATTGAATGTGTATTATATTTATATTAAAAGTCAATAAGGAAACTGTCCAGGGAAGTTGAGTGGACCCTATCTCTTTTCCATCTTCGTGAGTGATCTCTGCGCAAAACGAAATGTGGACTCCGCACTACATAATGAAATCCGCGGATGATCTACCTCTATCGTGGTACCTGTATGGATAAGCCTGATGTCACCGCTGATTGTGTCAAACATTTCAGAAACTGGTCAGATAGAAATACAGGGGCTGCGGAGCGGTCTGTAGAGTGCGGGGGCTAACAAACGCCGGAGCCTCTTTGGGAAAATAGCTCCTCGACTATATATCATCATCAGTCCTCCCCTAGCCCGCGCTCGGCTTATGGGTCCGGCGCGGAGCGTGCCTCCAACAGCCGGGTTAGCTTCTTAGTGTCCATCAGTGCTCTCCTTGCTTGCGTCCTATCCACCCCAAGTATATGTTTAATTCTTAGCCAGGTCTTGTTCGGTGTTATTCTATCAAAAAGCACAGTTCTCCATACGGCACACGTGACCCATTTTTTTACMTACTGTAGGAGACAGAAATCCTTTATCGAGGGAGTATTTGTGATAGAACGCAACCGTTCGTTTGAGATCTTGTACGACGTACCAGTCAAGCTCCCCTTCAACCAGTGTAGCTGGATCAACCCCTTTTTTACGTTGGGAGGTACTGGGCACATTTCTCCTCGCATACCCCCCGGTCACCATTTTTAGTAGAAATCCATTCCAGACACTTTCTATTTTCTGGATATCACCCGTAGACAGTTCATACGTCTGGATGCCATATAGTAGCTGTGATCTGACACACGCAGTAAGTATTTTTATGCTTGTGACAAGATATATTTCCTTATCTGRCAGGCAAAACTTCAATTAATCCCACTTTTGAAAAACACGCGATTCTTGAATGTAAAGCTGCACTAGGTAGACTATGATACTGTACCGCACTAGGTACACTATCGCACCAGGTAGACTATGATACTGTACCGCACACGGTACAGTGTCGCACTAGGTAGACTATGATACTGTACCGCACATGGTATACTATCGCACTACAGAGACTATGATACTGTAGCGCAAATGGTATGCTTTCGCACTAGGTAGACTATGATACTGTACCGCACACGGTACACTATCGCACTAGGTAGACTTTGATACTGTACCGTACACGGTACACTATCGCAATAGGTAGACTATGTTACTGTACCGCACACGGTACACTATAGCACTAGGTAGACTATGTTACTGTACTGCACACGGTACACTATCGCACTAGG